GCTTTATGGGAAATCCAATGTCTAAGGAAGCCCTTTTCCTTAGGTCCTATCAAACATGACACACAGGTTATATTTTATTAATTTTAGGTTCCTTCTAATGTTGTGAAAACCTATTTACTGTGTTATTAATTATGGTGATAATATTAAAAGCCCATATACTCTTAAACTAAAAAAAAAAAAAAAGTTCCAAAGTGTAAACAACCCAGATGTCCTTTAATGGTTAAATAAATTGTGGTATATTCGTATCATAGAATCCTACTCAGCCATAAACATAAGGAAACTATTGATACATGTAATAATCTGTAAGAATCTCTGGGGAATTAATTAGGCTGAGTGAACAGAAAAAAGAAAAGCTAATCCCATCAGGCTATATACTAGATAATTCCATTTACATAAAAATTCTTGAACAGACACTATTATAGAAATGGAAAATGAGTTAGTGGTTGCCAGAAGTTAAGGAAGAAATCGAAGTGGCAGGGAACAGGAACATGAGGGATTCTTACAGGGAAGGAAATGTTTGGTGTCTTCACTCTGTCAATGCCAACATCCTGGCTGCTCACTGTACTGTACTTTTGAAAGATCTCATACTGGGAGAAACTAGGTACAGGGTACATGGAATCTCTCTGTATTACTTATAACTGCATGTAAGTCTTCAATTATCTTTAAAATTAAAAATGTAATTAAAAATAAAAAAGCAGCCAGAAGGAGTTACATTACACCCAAAAGAATACACTAAGAATGACAACAGACTTCTCACAGAAATAAAAAGGAAAATGACAGTTGAATGATACCTTCAAAGTACTGAAAAAAGAATAACTGTAAATTTTTGGGAAATACAGAAAATCAACTTTAAAAAACATGGTTGAATTAAAAAATCATTTTGACAAATAAAAACTAAGAGTTTATAATCAACAGATTATTGTTAAAGGAATATACTTCAGAAAAAATGAAAATTATCCTAGGTGAAAGGTCAGAGATGCAAAAATGGTGAGTACAGAAACCATTTAACACATGGGTAAATCTAAACAATTATCTGAATTAAAATAGTAATAGTCACAAGAAACTAATTTTAATATTAAAAATCAAAAGTCCAAACTAAAATACTGAGTGATGGTAGCACAAAAGTTGAAAGAAAGTCAGGCATGGTGGCACACACCTGTAATCCCAGAGGCTCGGAGACTGAGGCAGGAGGATCGAAAGTTCAAAGCCAGCCTCAGCAAAAGTGAGGCATCAAGCAACTCAGTGAGACCCTGTCTCTAAATAAAATACATAAAAGGGCTGGGGATGTGGCTCAGGGGATGAGTGCCCTTGAGTTCAATCCCTAGTACCAAAAAAAAAAAAAAAAAAAAAGTTGAAAGAGGATAAACATATTAAGTTCTATCATCCTAGATGTGGGGCACAGATAAATACCTAAACTGAGCAACAAATATACCACTTATAGTGGTTTAATGTGTTTTTAGAGTTCTAATCTTTTGAGAAAATAGAATGATTAGAACATTTAAAAAATAGATTTATTTGAGGCTGGGATTGTGGCTCATGGGTAGAGTGCTCGCCTAGCTTGGGTGGGACCCAGGTTCGATCCTCAGTACCACGTAAAAATAAAGGCATTGTGCTGTGTCCATCTACGTCTAAAAAAAATATTTAAAAAATTATTTGCATATGTATGTGAGTATGTTATTTATGGATATACATAAAGAATATGTAAGTTTTAGATTATGATTTCTAACCTATTTTAATGCGCCTGTGCTAATTTCACTGAAATATTCATAGAATTCAAAAACTAGGCTTTAATGAGTTAAGTATGGATGGTGAAAGTGAAAAGCAATTTCTCAAATGGGTTGAACTAACATAATTTTTAAGTTAATTTAAAAGAAAATAGGTTTGGGGAAGCCAGAAAAAGTACAAAATGAGATAGCCAGCAAGTACTACGAGAATACTACCAGCTAGGGATGTAGCTCAGTGGTAGGGTGCTTGCCTAGCATGTGCAGGGCCCTGGATTTGATCTCCAGCATTGCAAAAACAAAAWAAAATAAAATAAAATAAAATAAAGAACAATCCAAATGTATCAGTACACATCCAAATGTATCAGTAAACATTACAATGCATTAAAATCATCAGTTTAGATTAAAACTATATGCTATTTATGAGGCATACTAAAACAGTAATGTAAAAATAAAGGGATGGTAAAAATCTACCAAATAAAGCGATGAGCAGCTGTGAGTCAATCAACCTAAAAACTTCAATGAATATGATAAATTCCCAGAAAAATGTAATCACCAAAATGCTAACACTAAAGATATAGAAAGGCTAATAATTCACAATCATTAAAATGTAACAAGAGTTGAGAATTTTTTTTTCACAAAAAGAAATACAACATTCAGATAATTTTGTAGGCAAATTCTGTCCAACGTTTAAGAAACAGATAATTTAAGTCTTTTTCTTCTTTTCCAGATGAAGGGTGGTGGCGAAAAGCATTCCCTACCTCATTCTATAACTTGGACATTAAAACTAGACAAAAACAATAACAAAAAAATTGCAGGCCATTTTCATCACTGTACTGGAAATTTTAGCCTGCTAAAATAATAAGAAATCACCATCCTATTCAACATTATACTAGATTTTTTTTTGCCAGAAAGCACCATAACACTACCACATATAATAGTTATTTTCAAATTTTTAAATAAGTAGCAAAGAAAAAAGACTGTCATTATTTGCAGATATTATTGTCCACATAATAAACCCCCAAACCCTACAAATTTTAAATATAAAAAACTGAGTGAAATGGCTGAATATGAGTAGTAATCAAAAAAACAACTTGTCAGCAAACCAAAAATTTATTTTTAAGATGCCATTTACAATAGCACATTTTTAAAAAGGAAACAGAATAAATCCAACCTAGATGATCAAAAGCTTTATTAGGAAAATTCTAAGAACTAAATGGAGAAGCATGTAGCTTAATGAATAGAAAGATTCAATATTATAAAGATTATTTTTTCCTGAAAGTAATCGACTATTTTAATACTAATGCAATTAAAGTCCCCATAGAATTCTTCAGGAAACTTGATAAGATGGTTCTAAAGTTATAAAGAATGAAGAGTTAAGCCATTCCTAACAGATAGAAGGACCTATTTAAATACTGAGACTTTCTGTTAAGTCATAGAAATACATGTGTTTGGTACTGGCTCTGGGACAGACAATAAACCAAAGGAATGGTGACCCCATGAAATAAAACCCACACATAAAAAGAAACTCATATACAAATAGAACTGTAGATCAACAGAGAATAGACTAAGCTTTCAATAATGGGCTTTAGGCAACTGGTTATATCCAAATAAATGTTAAAAACAAACAACAACAACAACAAAAAAAACTAATGTAAAAAGTGAATTTGGATCCCTGAATCATAAAACACACACACACACACTCAATATAGATTTAAATGTAAAAATACAAAGCCTTATAATTTTTAGAACATAATTTATCTTTATTACTACAGAATAAGTAATTTCTTTTTGTCTTTTTTTTTTTTTTTTTTTCATGGCACTGGGGACTGATCCCAGGGCCTGATGTATGCTAGGCAAACACTCAGTACCACTGAGCTATACCTCCAGCTCTGGTAGATTTCTTCAACAGAATACAAAAGCACAAAACACAGAGGGAAAAGGTTGATACATTTGCTATCAAATTCTAAATGTTCTGCCTAAAATGTATAACCTAATTCTCTAATTATACATCTACACCTAACTTCATTTACAGAAAATAGAGACTAGAGGGGACCATGAAGATTCCATCAAATAATTCCAGAATGTGTAACTTTTTTTATTGTTGTTCTTTGTATTTTTTAACCCAATATTACAACGGAGGTAGGGAATGAGGGTAGAGAATGAATAAGTACATTAAAGCAGCTATTAAAAATATACTATAGCTGGGCACAGTGGTGCATGCCTGTAATCTCAGTGGCTTGGGAGACTAAGGCAGGACAGTTCAAAGCTAGCTTCAGCAAAAGTGATGCACTAAAGCAACTCAGTGAGATCCTGTCTCTAAAATACAGAACAAGGCTGGGGATGGGTCTCAGTGGTTGAGTGCCCCTGAATTCAATTCTTCTTTACCCCTCCACCCATAAAAAAGAGAGAGAGAAGACAGAAAAAGACACAAATGAAACTTCTAAAGATTAAAAATGTAATGTCTAAGGTAAATATTCTTTGGATGGGATGAAATGACTAGATCCTTCTCAAAAGAAAACATTAATGAACATGAGGAGGCAGCAATGGAAACTACCTCACATGAAACAGAAAAAGACTAAGAAGCTGAATGGAGCATTTGTGTGCTATGGGACAACTTCAAGTGTCCTAAAATACAGGTAACTGGAACCCCAGGAGAAGAGGAAGAGGAAGAGAGGAACAGAAAAACATAATTGAAGGACTAATACCAAACAATTTCTAAATTTGGTGAAAACCATAAACCCACAGGTAAATACTAGCAGAAGAAATGTGAACAAAACTATAGCAAGTACATCAAAATCAAATTGTTTAAATGCAGTGATAAAGAGAACAGCAGTCTGGGAAAAAACTGACAACTTACATATAAAAGAACAAAGACAGGAATAATATAAGTCTTCTGGATGGAAATCACAGTATCACTTAACATCCACTAGACTGATAAGGTTTCAGGTCTGAAAGTAAGAACTATTGGAGATGTAAAACAAAGATAACAGGACAAAATAATGCTGATGGGGTGTAATTGGGACAACCCCCTTAGAATAAAATTTGGCATTATCTTGTAAAGATAAGATTCTCAAACCACATGACCTGGCGATATCACTCCCAGATAAAGAATATTCACAGCAGCACTGCCTCAATAGCACAAACAAAAAGAGCAAACAAAACCCAAATATCCATTAGCAAAGGAATGGATAAGTTATGGTATATATCCATACAACACACATAGAAATAAAAATGAAGTCTTTGAAAAAAATGCTAATTGAAAAAAAGTCACAGAAGTAAACATAATTAAGACATTTATATAAAATTCAAAAACATACAAAATTAACATTTCATTTAGGGATACATACATATGTTGTAAAACTACACCAAGAACCAAGAGAATGACAAATGCAAAACTCAGAATAATAATTACTTGAGAGGGACAGGGCATATATGTTAAATGTAAGCAATGGTCTATTTCTTATGCTAGCTGAGGGGTATACAGCTACTTATATTTATTATTCCTTATACCTTATATATACATGTTTATGCATTTTTATAATATGAAAGACTTCATTTTAAAAAAGAGTAAAACTGTGAAAGACAAAAATGAATTATGCCATTTCTGTATAACAATAAAATTAAGTGTTAAAAAAAAGAATGCACAGGAAATGTTCAATTTTTTTATCTCTCAGTGCCCTATGCCATCAGTATTAATCTAAAAGGGCCATATCCTAGAATGAAAACGAACACACAGTCTTTAACTGCTTTGATACAACATCTGAACATCTGTTTAAGTCAAGAAGCACATCAGCCACTCATTTCTGATTCTTCATCTTTCATCTGTACTTAGATTTTTCTTTGTCTTTGGACTTCTTTGGACTTCTGCTTCGGTCCCTCTTTTTACTCCTTTCTCTTTCATAAGGATCTGTTTGGTATTTGGGCTTATGACTGTTACTGTAATGGCCATCCCTCTCACGAGATCGGCTGCGACTTCGGTTCTGAGGTCGATCTCTCTTTTCACTCTTTTGTTTCTCCCAACAGCTTTCATCCTCTTCATAATGACCAAACCCCATTTCCCTGTATATATCCTGTCAAGGAAATGCAGAAAGAGTTAAGAGTTACCAGTAAAATAATCACTTTGTGAGCACTGTTGGTTAATAAAATCTAGAAAAGTCCACTATTAGCAAGCTATTGTAACAGCTCAAATTAATTTTTTAAAAAATATTTATTTTTTAGGTGTAGATGGACACAACACAATGCCTTTATTTTTATGTGGTGCTGAGAATCGAACTCGGGTCCCACCCATGCTATTCGAACGCTCTACCACTGAGCCACAATCCCAGCCCACAGCTCAAATTTAAATACTCSTGGTAATGTCAAGAATCAGACATAAAAAGCAAAATAACTCAGAAAAAGATTTAACAATTTTACTTCTCAGTCTCACTGCTTTGTATCTGCCACTTAGGTTGAACTGAAGAATCATATCCACAACATGGAACTGAAACTGCCAAGTGAAATTAGAACAAGTGTTTAAAGTAACATTGCTATACCCAAATTTCTAATTACTACAGTTATATTTCCACTTTCCCTTTCTCCATTCCCCCAAAAGTATCTGTCCCATTATTGATCTTCAATGGAGCTACTACCATCCCCATAAGAATTCTATAAAGAAGATATTTAAATAACAGCAGGAAGAGGCCTTAGATAAGTCAGTTTAAAATGAAAATAGATACTGCTTTACTTTGGTCTGGGTGATTACTTTTTTTTTTTTTAATTTAAATTTTTGTTCTAGGGATTGAACTCAGGGTCTCCCACTTGCTAAGCACACGTTCTATCACTGAGCCACACTCCCAATCCCAATTAATTTTCAAAGGGTTTTATTGCACAAATCTCCTCTCTAGATCTTCAAATACATTTTCTATGTTTAGGCCAGGCTATTACATATTTTTGTTAAAATTATTACTACACATCTCTTAAAAATTAGTTAAGAAACACTGGAATACTCCATTGTCCTGGAGACAACACAATAGGTATATTTAAAAATTCTATTCTTAGTGATTAAATAGTATAGTAATGTTTCCATACAGAAAAGAACTATTTAACAATACTTTTTGTTGTGTCTTCTCTTTTAATTGAAACAAGTATTTCAGAAAGTGGTTGAAATCCAGAAAGACCAGAGCTAATCCTTTCAAGAACCTGTAATATTTGGATTTCTTAAACATTTTTCAAAGAAAAGGTAAAATTCTGAGAATTAAACTCCTAAAAGTCCTGATTCCCTCACTGTTAACATTATTATAGTAGATATAACTGTCAAGTTTAAAATCCAGAGTGATAGACCATGACTCATGGTTAAAGGCTGAATTTTTTTTTTTTTTTTTTAGAGAGAATTTTTAACATTTATTTTTTAGTTTATTTTTTAACATTTATTTTTTAGTTCTCGGTGGACACAACATCTTTGTTGGTATGTGGTGCTGAGGATCGAACCCGGGCCGCACGCATGCCAGGCGAGCGCGCTACCGCTGAGCCACATCTCCAGCCCTAAAGGCTGAATTTTATGCAGATGATTATTTCATAAACTGTATACCTTGCTTTGAACCTGGAATAGTTTATAATATGTAAAAACAGATCTAGCATAATTGTTATAATGACACTGTTTGTATAATATAAACTGATTCATGATTTTCCACACAATTCTCTAGCATAATTGTTATAATGACACTGTTTGTATAATATAATATAAACCGATTCATGATTTTTCCACACAATTCAATAGCTCTCATCATTCTATAAAAGTCTACGAAGTAGATTAGGTGGGCATGTGGCTCAGTGGTAGAGCTTCCCTCCCATGTGTGAGGCCCTGGGTTCAATCCTCAGTCTCACAAACACACAAAATGAATAGGACTGTGGTTTAGTCCCTTACCAACAATTTTCTAGCAAAACATGACATTTGTGGAGTGGCATACTTTGAATTCTGGGGGCTTCTTGCAACATATATTCTGCCTCAACACACAGTATTTATTTCTATAGTGACTGAAACAATAAAGTTTTAAAATGTAGACACTGCCTGGTTATGGTAGCAAATGCCTGTAATCCCAGCGGCTTAGGAGGGTGGGGCAGGTTCAAAGCCCGGCCTCAGCAACTTGAGAGAGGCTCTAAGCAACTGTGTGAGACCCTGTCTCAAAATAAGAAATAAAAAAGGATGGGGCACATCCCTCAGTGGTTAAGCACCAGTGGATTCAATTCCTGGTTTTAAAACAACAACAACAACAACAAAAAGCAGACACTATCAGCAGATGTATAAAATTCTCAGCACATTATTATACAAGTAGGCACTTTGATGCTTTAAATTTTTTTTTTTTTTAAAGAAAGGAAAAAAAAAAAAAGAGTCATGGGGCTAGGGATGTAACTCAGAGGTATAGCACTTGCCTAACATGTATGTGGACCTTAGTTTGATTCCCAGAATCAAAAGGGGGAAATGTTATGAAACACATACTTCTTTGAAAATTTGAGGAAGCTGAAAATCTGAAAAGGACCAACACTTTCAATCCACTCCTACGTGGAGTAATTTTAAAAGCTATACAAGTTTTGTAGTCAGGCAGATCTGGGTTCAAATAAATGGTCTTTGCCATTTAGGAGATATACCAAACAAAAAATACTCTTGAGGTTATATTTATCAGGGAAGGTTTCATGAAGTTAAAATTTGAGGTGAAGCTCAAAAAATGAAAAAAGAGTTTACTGACTCTACTTAAAAAGTGAAGTGCAAAATAAAGAGAAAATAATCCTAGTACACATATCAAGGCAATAAAAAAATCCACAGGTTTTCTTTAATGAATAGTTAACCAAGATTATTGGAACAATAAAAGAARGTAAAGCTGTGTTTGTATTTGAGGGAGGGATAAATCTTCATCTTGAATTATGAGATTAAAATCTAAAACATTTTAAACCTTAAATAAAATTTTAACAAATACTGGGAATATATAAACACATTATCCAAACCCTCCTGAAATCCATTATGAAATCTAAACTGAATATTCATGAATATTCAATGTAAATTTCAAAGAGCAAACTTAATTTCAGATAAACCCAAAAACAGAATTAAAAAAAAAAAAAAAGAGTAGGTTTGGGTTTGGAGTGGCTACAAGAAGGCTGATGGAAGTAGTGCATGTGAGAACTGAAAAACAAGGAAGAATTAGTTCTGGGCGGATGCAGGACACAAATTTGCGGGACTGGATGAAGGCGTATTTGAATGGGCCCTCTAAGTATGTGTTAACACAGCGCTGTGCTTCAGGAGTGCAATCTTAATCTCATTCTAGCAATAAGGAGACTGAGACTTTAGAGATCTATACAGGTCAAAGATAATTAACTGATCAAATCACAATAAACATTAAAGTTCTAGGTTTCCCCCAACGTACAAAAGTCTCAGATTATGGGACAGTATCTTCACATCTAATCTATGGAATTAAATCAAAGATTTTATAAAATCTGAATCACTAAAACAACATTAAATCATTAAAATGACAACAAAAATGTTCAAGTGCCAAATTACAAGAATACAYATACTACAAACACCTCAGTGGAGAACTGACACCTAGTCTGAACAATTCTCAATCAGGCAACCCGAAGCTGACTACTCATTTCCTGTAGCCCCAGTAAAACCCAAACTTCAACATAAAAACCATCTTTGGAATTAAGACATTAGGTGGAAAAACAAAGAAGCTTTCAAATTGAATATTAAGGCTGTCATTCAATAAAAACAATTTGAAGAAATAAGTTAAAACTTTCTGAGGAAACTGGACTTACCCAGCAAAATACCAAGAAATAGGAAAATCTGAACTATGCCTAAAAATTTAGATAGTACTAAAAAATGTGCTTTAACTATTATTGTCTTTGAGACTGAAATAAAAAATGCTGGTGTTGAATTTTATTAAAAAGAAGACAAAATCATTATAGCTATGTTATTAAATATAATACTCAAAACATTTACTTTAATACCCACTTAGAGGAAAGAAATAAAGTTAGAAAATTATTATTCAAGATTTAATAATTTTATAGTTACCAAATCCCTTAAAATTCTTCTAAAAATGTTAGTAGTATTCTCCCCAAAATGTGATGTTTTTTACTCCATGCCAAAAGAGAAGAATATTTGCCACTGTAAGATTACAAGTAATGATTAACAGCAGGATCAAAAGGTTCATAAAAGTTAGGTGGGGACAGAATTAAAATGCAGTCTGTCTTTGAACTGTTTAGACCTCTGATTACCTTAAATACACCAATGTTTACCTCAGGCATCACTTCATCAAAGATTCCACATACTAGTGCAGGACAAAGAACTGTAGCTAAAAATAGCACATGGTTGGAGGGGACAATTATGGGTTTTATAGTAGAAAATGTGTTAAACATATCTCAGGAATGTAATATAACCACCATTAAAAAAAGATTGGGATAATCTCTGACTAAATTAATAGAGTACAGAAATGAAGAGACAGGAGACATTCCTGTTAGATCCTACTTGGATATTACATATGGGGCAAACTGTCTCAGATAAATGAGGAAAGAAAACTGACAAGAATATATTCTAGGTAAGAACTGCAATAGAGCAGTATGAGTCTGATGTAAATGTTGATTCTATTATTTACTACCTATGTAAAACTGGGGTCTAGTAGCTTAAACCTTTTTTTTCATTTTTCAGTTTCTTTGTTGTATAATGGGAATAAGAGAACTCACCTAACATCATAAGGACAATATGTTAGCTACTATTGCTTTTATTACTACTGATTCATAAGGAATATTTGCAGAAACAGACAAAGGTGCAGTACAACCAGGACAATGCATGAACAATGTAATCTGTAAATAGCTAACTGACAATGGAAAGAGAGATTATAATTCTGTTACACAATAGCAAAGGGTAGGGATATATGCTTTCTGGGACACAGCTAAGAATACTTATCAAACATTCTGCTGAATTTTTTTAAAAAAATGAATATAAACCATAAAATGGATACTTATAGGGAGGAAAAGAAAAGGAAGAGGGACAGGGGTAGAGACGCTAGGTTCTTTGCATGTACCATTTTGAAGATTTTACTTTTGAAGCATATAGTTTTAAAAACTCAAACCCAAAACTATTTAAACAATCCTTTAATAACAACAACAACAACAACAACAACAAAAATAAAACAAATTAACTGAAATGTGAATTCAATTAATGGCATAACCACAGGGAAACCATTGAAGTAACTAAAAAAATAATTTGGTGGTGGGTACTGGGGATTGAACTCAGGGGCACTGGACAACTGAGCCACATCCCCAGCCCTATTTTGTATTTTATTTAGAGACAGGATCTCACTGTGTTGCTTAGCACCTTGCTTTTGCTGAGGCTGGCTTTGAATTTGTAATCCTCCTGTCTCAGCCTCCCTAGCAGCTGGGTTTACACCATGCCTGGCTAAAACAGAAATTTGATTATGGTAAAAATAGTGGTAGAAAGAAAAGTCAGTATAGAAAAATGTTTGAATACATGATTTTTTTCCCCATTTAATCTTAGCAACATGCTTGTGAAATATTTATGTTTCACAGAGGAGGAAACTGTGGCTCAGAAAGATAAATAACTTGTCAAGATCTCATCATGACTAAAAGTATAGAAACATAAGCCTAAATCCCCTGACAGCACACTCTTTATTTTGCCTACCATACTACATTTCTCCATCTGTGTCTTTGCTGGACATTCTCACCTTCTTCTTCAATTTCTTCCCTCCTCCCCTCAGGCAACTGAAGTCATGGTCAACCAGGGACCAGCTCACATGTCTTATGTGTGGTAAAACAAAATCAAGCAGGGCAAAATGGCACATGCTTGTAATCCCAGTGGCTCAGGAAGCTGAGGCAGGAGATGGTGAGTTCAAAGCCAGCCTCAGCAATTTAGCAAGGCCCTAAGCAACTTAGCAAGACACCATCTCTAAATAAAGTATAAAGAAGTCTGGGGATGTGGCTCAGTGGTTGAGTGCCCCTGGGTTCAATCCCTGGTACCAAAAAAATGCTAAAACAAAATCAAAATCAAGGAGCTGGGATGTTACTTGCTTTTTGTTTAATGTAGAAAAAAAGACACACATTAGAAATGATTTCTTCTTTTTATAATCAATTCCTTCAGGGAATTTTTGTTATAATTTTAGAAAATTTGCTCTTCTGAAGAACTTTGGGATGATAAATTATAAGTTCTGTTTTTATTTCATATATACAATATAAAAGGTCATAATTTTTATAGCCATAAAATCTCCAGGTCTGCAAGTTCTATATGTGAAACCCCTGTTGACAAATAAAGCTAACAACCAAGAAACATTTTTTCAGCAGTTAACTTGTTTTAGAGCATTCACAGGGATGGAAATTGCTCTAGTTTCACAATGTGGAAATGTATAACTTAAGTGACTCTGAAAACAATTTTTTTTTTTTTTTTTTTTTTTTTTTGCGGGGAGGAGAGGATAGATATTGGAGATTGAACTCAGGGGTACCTGACCACTGAGCCACATCCCCAGCCCTATTTTGTATTTTATTCAGAAACAGGGTCTCACTGAGTTGTTCAGCACCTTGCTTTTGTTGTGATCCTCCTGCCTCAGCTTTCTGAGCCGCTGAGATTACAGGTGTGCCCCACCCTGCCTGGCTGAAAACAATCTTTTATAACTTGGAAAAAATATTCTTGAAAAAGTCCATTACTCCTGTACAATCATTCTAATTTTAAAGCTAGGAACTAATACCTATCCTTGTTCAGAACTATCCTTTACCTCCTAAATTGTGTCACTAACGTGTCATTTACAGAGGAATAAAATATTTATTTCTTTGAATCTAAGTTGGACATCTGAAGTACCTGGTTAGTATTTCTGATTGGCATGTAGTCCTCATCTTCCTTCTCTTCAGAGCAGTGCCGGGTTTTCTTCTTGTGTTTTTTACTTGTGTGTGAGTGACTTGATTTTGAGTCTTCTGCCTGCTCATCTAGTATAAGATCATATTTTGCACTGCAACACTTAGTTAAGGGCAAATATGAGAAATTACAGATAAAAACATCAAAACATAAGAATCTGGTAGATATGGGAGGTTGGAAGGCCAAATGTAACTTTTTAGAGCAAACAGTGGGCCCCTCCAGGGAGCACAGCCCATTGGAGGGGGACCAGTGAGTGAGTCACTATGAATTAGGATGTCATAGCACAGCCCCTGGCGCCCTAAGTTAGAGGGGACACCCTGGCAGGGGCTACTTTCTACAGACCCAGAAATGGCATCTGTGGCTTTTAGGACTTACATGGCTCAGGCCTGCAGAGCTGCTAAGGAGTCTGTCTACTATAAGTGGCGCCATCTCTTAACTGGCCTATACACGGGCACAGCCACCCTGGTATGGAATGGAAATACTATTTCAGGACAAGAGTTCTCCAGTGAATTCCAAATCAATGTGGTAGACTGCCAGCCTGTTCATGAAGCCACAACGAACCAAACAATAGTCCTTATTGTGATCTGTGTAACAGTGATGTTTGAGGGCAACAAACAATGGGACTTAAACCAAAACCTCTTCCTAAACTGCTAAAATAATACAAATGTGGGGGGATAAAAAGCAAAAGCAAATAGCACCTCAAAAGCATAGAGAATATGTCTAAAATAAAGTTATTTTCTTTCATTATGTAATAAGGAGAAATGGAAAAAACTTTACATTTTTTTAACAGTTAATTAGTAAGCAAAAAATATGAAGGGGGAAATAAAAAACAGTGTCCACAAATGAAAATACGACTAGCAAAAGAAATAAAGAAACATGCTGGACACAGTGCCTGTAATCCTAGCAACTTAGAAAGCTGATGCAAGAAGATCTCAAGTTCAAGGTCAGCCTCAGCAAGTGAGACCTAATCTCAAAAATAAATAAAAGATGGTATATAGTTCACTGATAAAGTGCCCCTGGGCTTAATCTCCAGTATCAAATAGAGAGAGAGAGAGAGAGAGAGAGAGAGAGAGAAGAAAGAAAGAAATATATTTGTTAATAATGAAAAACTTAAAACGTAGAAAACAAGGTCCATCTTTAACTAGAAAAAAATTAAATAAAAAGGACTGGATATGTACCTCAGTGGCCTAATGCCTCTGGGTTCAATCCCTACTACGCCCCACCCTAGCCCCAAAAGAAAACAGGTACTCCCATGGTTTTTCTTTCAGACTGATGCTACAGAAGGAAATTCAGCAAAGTATATCAGTTATCATGTTTAAATTCCAATAAGAATTGATAGAAATTAAAATAAGTTAAATGAACAAAGATATAGATAGCAGAATTATTTTTAATATTAGAGTAGGAAAATATTTAGTAATAAAGATAATACAGCATTTCATCATGATATATTCTAAAGAGAGTTGTTGACAAATGATAAATGCTCTAAAAAATGTGGAAAGATGTCTATGAAAACTAAAAGTAGAAAAAGCTTAAATCAAAAACTGAATATACCATATAGTGATTATAACTTTATACAACTTAATAAAAAGACTTCATAAAAAGGCTTGAAAGGAACAAAAAGAAATAAACACTATCACTGGCCAGGATGGTGCACACCTATAATCCCAACGAATCAGAGGCTGAGGCAGGATAGCAAATTTGAGGCCAGCCTAGGCAACTCAGGGAAACCCACAGCAACTTAGCAAGACCCTGTCTCAAATAACCAAAATAAAAAGGGCTGGGGATGTAGTTCAGTGGTAAAGTAACCCTGGGTTCAATCCTCAGTACCAAAAAAAAAAGATAAAAAAAATCATTATTTTTCTAGGAGATAGAACTGAGTGAATATTTCCTAAAGTTCACATAAATACATTATTAAAATTTTAATAATGGGGCCATGGTATAGTAGGATGAACCTGCCCAGTATGATGAAGCCCTGAGTTCAATCCATAGGGAGGGAGGGAAGGAAGGAAGGAAGGAAGGAAGGAAGGAAGGAAGGAAGGAAGGAAGGAAGGAAGGAAGGAAGGAAAGAAGGAAAATTAATAATGTCTTAGAATAGAGAAAAGATAAAATTGTTACAACTTCTTCTAAAAGTAATCTCAACTTCTAAATTGGATTTTCAGGCAGGCTGACATGGGCTACAATAGCAGTTTTCAAAAGAAAGCTTATGAGGAAGCCAAAAATACAGGAACTATTGTAGTTGCATGTGGAACTGGAGTAAACAGATACACTTCCTTCAGGACGAGTCTCATGTCTGTTTTCACAAAGCCACAGCTCAAGGCTTTCCTCAAGGATGCCTCCTGTCTATATAATACCTAATAGGAACACTATGCCTTCTAGCTTTCCTCCAGATGGCTAAAAATGCTCGTCAGCCCATATTAGCCTTATCACTCCATTATCTCAAACTTTTTTTCTCCTGTATACTATGGCACCCAGAGTGCCTTCTGGATCTTCTCTCAGATACAAATCCAACAGCCCTTGTGTGCCCAGTACATGGGGCTCCCTCTGTCAAAGATGTTTTGCAGCAGTGTTCTTCAAACCGAAGGTAGTAATCCAACAATGGGGCTAAAATCCATAGGTTATGATCAGCATTATTAGACATACCATAGAACAGAACATGGAGTATAATGATGACTAATAAAAATACTATTTTATGGCAGGCACAGAGGCATATACCTGTAATCCCAGTGTCTCAGGAGGCTGAGGCAGGAGGATTCCAAGTTTGAGGCCAGTCTGGACAACTTAGTCAGACCATGTCTCCAAATAAAACGAGGTGGAGAATGTAGCTCAGTGGTATAGTACTTCCTAGCATAGATGAGGCCCTGGGTTCAATCCCCAGTATCTTTCTTAAGATACACATACAAAAGGTATAATCTTTCTTAAATGATGGACCAAAATTAAATAAAGAAGTTGACTGACTCGGCGGCTATCCTCTGCCCTATATTCAAGTTATAGTTTGAATGTTACTTGACAGAATTCCCTCATATCCCACAAATGTACTTTTTTTTWAAAAAATACTTTTTTTTAGAAGTCAATGGACCTTTATTTTATTTGTTTATATGCAGTGCTGAGAATCAAACCCAGTGCCTCACACATGCTAGGCAAGTGCTCTACCACTGAGCCACAACCCCAGCCCCACACAAATGTACTTTTTAACAAAAAAAAATGTTATCTTACTATGTTGGCTAGGCTGGTCTTGAACGCAGAAGCTCAACTGATCCTCCTGCCTTACTCAAACTTCTGAGTAGCTAAAATACAGGCACGTGCCACTATGTCTAGCCCATGAATTTACTTCTTTGCAATGCTCCAGCCTATTAATGGTAGTTATTTTATGTTAGTATCCCACCTGCCACACTCCAAAATAAAATGCAAGTTCCATGTGGTTAGAGACAGAACTTTTCACTGCCAAACTGGGTATTTAACAGTTTCTAATTAAATAATTGTTGATTACCCATTATACCACTAAGAGACTTGTTCTGTCTCTTCCTCACTATCTTCCACTTAACTACTAAAACCAACACTTTAAAATCTTTTGTATAAAATACAAATCTGTGACTCTACTGACTTGTTTTCTCTAATTTCTTCCCTAAGATCTAAACTTTTCTAATATTTTTAGTCTTTTTAATTAATAATCTACATTTATAATTTTTCTTTCTCTCAAGATCCAGAACATACATCTCCATCATGCCTTTTAACTGACTTCAGACAACTTATCTGTACATATACTCAGATGTCCTCTGAATCCCCTTCCCTTGCCATAAGTAACAAATCACTTAATACATGAAAGGAATGTAAGAGAGTCTGTGTTGTGTGTATGTAGCTTACATACTATAAACATGTTCTGTCTCTCTGCTGTTCTACCAGAGAAAATAAATGCCTCGCTAAAACGAAAACTAGTAACTACCAAGAAGATAGAGATTATCTATTAGGTTAGATTCATGAATTTCCTCTTTCCTGTACAATATTCTGTCAATTATTTGACAATAGTTATCAGGACATGTCTGTCTTCTACATCAACTTCAGAAGACTAGAAGCTGTACTGTTCAATACTAGAAATATGCAATCATATGATTAAAATTTTAAAAAATTTAAAATTCAGCTCCTTAGTCCATCCTATAAGCTCACTAGCCACATGTGGTTAGTTGTTAAACTGGACAACGGAGTTATAGTACATTTTTATAAAAGTAGAAAGTTCCTTTTTGGTACTGGGGATTGAATCCAGGGATGCTTTACCCCTGAGCTACATCCCCAGCTCTTTTTATATTTTTACTTAGAGATGGGGTCTTGATAAGCTGCTTAGGGCCTTGCTAAGTTGCTGAGGCTAGCTTTGAACTTGTGATCCTCCTGCCTTAGCCTCCTGAGTCATTAGGATTACAGGCATGCACCACTGTATCTGGCTAGAAAGTTCTATGGAATGGTACTGGATTAGAGATTAACTTTCAAATATGCCTAGTTTCCTTTCTTAACTCAGAAATCTATTCTCTTGATTTCTTTCTTTTCTTTTCTTTCTTTCTTTTTTTTTTTTTTTTTTTTGGTACCAGGCATTGAACCTAGGGGTGCATAACCACTGAGCCATATCCCTAGCCCTTTTTATTTTTTATTTTGCTTAGTTGCTTAGGGCATTACAAAGCTGTCAAGGCTGGCTTTGAACTTGTGATCCTCCTGCCTCAGCCTCTTCAGCTGCTGGGATTACAGATGTGTGCCACCACATCCAGCTAAAACAATCTTAAATTTTAAACATTTTTAATGCTATGCATTCCTTCTTTTCAGCCTCCACAAGGAAAAAGAAACCTCCCTCTGCTTTATACTCTATAACTGTACTTCCTTTGTTTGCCCTCCACATTCCCCTTCTTCTAGCTACAGTTACTAGTAGGTAGCCTAAACATAGCTTAAGAGATTTGGTAGATAAATCTCAAGTGTATTTATTTCATCGATTTCTCTTATGACTTTGACTTTTAGTCATATGTCCTCTAATGTGGCTCTTTTGGGGCCAAATCTCAGCTTGTTGGTCTGTTTGCCTATGAAAGCTTCTGATGTTGATTTTGTCAGCATTCTTCAGAATTTACCTGACACTAATATCTCACAATGCTTTATGCACTGCATAGACAACCAACAATATTTTAAAACATAAATATATAAAGGTCAACCTGATATTTATCTCTCCTTAAAAATACTTGGAAAAGAAATGTCTACATAGCATAGGAAAAAAGAATCCCTGAAACACCAACAGAAAAAAGGAAACAAAGACACCATTTACCAGAAACAATCACCAAAGAAATAACCTTTGCAATGTGTGGAGTGATAGATTTATAATGGAAAAAAATCAGTGAACAAATTAAATGACATAATATAAACAGTATGTTTCATTGCTTTTTACTTGTCTCAACCTAAAACTTGGAAGAACTTGAATTAAGTAGTAACTTAGTAGATTTCTTTTCAATTCTATAAACATCAACTCTTGTATTCAACAGCAGCTCAATAAATATTTGTTATTAAAATAAAATGTAGCATGCAGTAAAAAGTAACCTAATCTCTTAACAAAGAACTATAGGATTTTCTTACCTAGGTAAGGAAGTTAAGCATAAGAGAATGATTAGACAAAGGATTTAGCTTAGCAATAATAAATTTCTAATTATGAGGAATTTAAAAAATTGCAATTATATACAGAAAATTAATATCTTACCCTGAAGATCATTTAGGAATATGATAAATAGGAAAAGACTTAGGTTACTAAGATTCCTTTTGAACTTAACTTTATAATAGAATTAATTTAAAAAGACTAGAATGAAAACAAAAAGTATATGTAAGGTACTGAAAAAAAATAATAATAAGGGGTTGGGGTTGTGACTCAGTGGTAGAGTGCTTGCCTTGCATGTGTGAGGCACTGGGTTYGAACCTCAGCAGCACATAAATAAATCAAATAAAGGTATTGTGTGCTTCTACAACTAAAAAATGTATTTAAATTTTTTTTTTTAAAAAGATAACAATAAGTTACTTTTTTACAAATCATTTAGATTCAAGAAACTTGCCTTTATGACATTTTATAGCTCATCACATAGTACACATAATGGGTGGTCAATGCACATTGATTAATTGATTCTTATTAAGGATACTCCTGTTTGGGTTTTACTTTATCTTTCAGGACCAAATTCGAAGGTTTATCCTGTTCCTTTTCATATTCTTTGAAATCACTCTTGGTGTATTTCCCACCTATTTATTAAGAGAAAAAAAAAAAAGGAGTTTAGTAAGAAAAGTCACATAATTAATCAAGAACAATAGTTGTTTTATAAAATATATACTTTAAGAGCTATTTTATAAATGGTATCTATTAGTAAACAGAAAAAGGGTAAGAAAAGAACAAAAGAAATCATAGAAATTTAATCTCCATTATTATTATTTTAACTGACATAAGATTTTGCTAGACAGCCGTATACTGCCACCTAATGACATATGTGAATATTACATCAAACTTTCAAATAAAAGACACATACAGTGCAATGTTTAAGTAGATCCAATAAACCCAGGAAAACATAAGTCCAAGGGAAAACTGAAGATCTGGAGCTTGAGTTTGAAAACTGAATGACTTATTAGTTTGGAATAAGATGTTAAAGACAACTGACTTGTCTCCAAACAGAGCACCAGACAGGTAGGAGATAACAGAATGTGCACAGAAGTTCACTAAAGAGATGTGAAAGAGGGTTGGCGACAGCACAGTAGAGAACCATTCCCACTTTGAATTCTCACCTATAGGTACCTTTATTCCTCCCAACTGCCAGAAATGAAATCAATAATCTCTTCAGTATAATAAGACTATTGTTAACATCCAACTACTCTCCAGTCTAGTCTCCTACCAAATGAGGATTCAGATTCCATCCATGTCCCAGACCTGCTAACTGGCCTACCTTTTCTATCCCTTCAGCTACCATGAGGAAGTGCTTCTTATGGGAAGGCTTCCTATAGCAGGGCCCTGGATTGCAAGGACAAGAAAGGAAAACTAGAAGTATAATGAGAGATGTCTTGATTATGAATACTGCATATCTTGATTGTCCGGGTTTTAAGGAAGGGGAAAACAGGAATGAAAAAAGAGGATAAAAGCTGGGCACAAGGGTGCACGAATATAATCCCAGCTACTCAGAGGCTAAGGCATGAGGATAACAATTTCAAGGCTAGCCTGGGCAACATAGCAAAACTCCTCAAAAGGAAAAAAAGTGGTGGTGGGAGAGGGCTAGATTCCGGAGACTGAAAATAAAAATGGTCAGCAAACAATGTTTCCTATAATGTGAAATAGACTTATGTAAGAGTTAAAATAACTGGAAACAGTAACAAACAGGTAGCATTTTGTGGGGTGGGTACCAGGGATTGAACTCAGGGGCACTGGACCACTGAGCCACATCCTCAGCCCTGTTTTGTATTTTATTTAGAGACAGAGTCTCACTAAGTTGCTTTGCATCTTGCCATTGCTGAAGCTGGCTTTGAACTCGAAATCCTCCTGTCTCAACCTCCTGGGGCAGCTGGGATTATCCTCCTGTCTCAGCCTCCTGGGGCAGCCACCACACCCAGCAACAGGTAGTATTTTATCCCTGAAAAATGATTTGCCATGTGCCTGTTATTAGGAGTTTCAGTATGGATGCAGCAGTTATGTTATATAGAAAGGGTAACAGATTAAAGCGAGAGATTTTAAATTCAAATCTTGGCTCAAGTGGGAGTAAGACATTTCACTTCTCTGGTAACTCATTCTCTTCATTTATAAACTAAAAATAATATCAACATTTCTCATTGCTAGTTAAAACACTAAATAAGACTGTGGGAATGTATTTAGCACTGTGAAGAATATACATTCAATTTTTAAAATGTGAGTCAATTACATGTATATTCAAAATTATCTCAGAATTAAGAGGCTAACAATAAACTACATTTATGATGGCGTCTGTGAACCCAAAGCATCTCTCTCCCATATGCTGCATTTTATTTTAGAAAACAGCATGAATAAATTCATGTAAAAATGATCTTGTAAATAAACCATGCTGAAACAACTTAGGAAAGTAGGATCATGTCTTCAACGTGTCAATGGGTTGGGAAGAAAACAAGACTGAGAGAAAAAAAATCCAAACTATACTTAAGGTCTCCAAATCATCATAGTATATGACTCTGGGTATATTATGTCACAAGATTATGCCTTAAGTTTCTTATCAATAATGTAAAATTATAGTTAATACATTTGAAACAAATGATAAAATTAAATTAGCTCTGTGGAAAAAAAGCCCTACATAAAAGGCCACTTGGCAGTACTACTGGAACAGAACCACATCACTTCAGGCCAGCAACTCATCACTACTACTGCTTTTTTTTAGTTGTAGATGGACACAATACCTTTATTTTATTATTTATTTTTTTTAATGTGGTGCTGAGGATTGAACCCAGCACCTTACATGTGCTGGGCAAGCATTCTACCAATAAGCTACAACCCCACTAAGCTTATCACTAAATATATTTATGTGATGTATTGTTCGTAAAGCTGTAACATGTGAAAAAAACATTTTGGTACTTCATCATAGTTTTCACAAGTCACTCAGAAGCATTCATGGGAGGAAACAAGTAGTACACAGGGCCCCAGCCCAAGTCACTCTCTCCTACCACAGGGATCTTGGCTTCCACTAGGCCTTCTTTGCCTTCTCCAGTCCCTAACAATTTCTCCCTTCTCTGAACCCCCATACGGTAACACAATCTACTAAACAATTTAGCACTTCACTACCAAACAGTGTTCTCAATTTCTTTCTAGTAAAAAAGACTTCATTAAAATCATGGGAAATGAATTGGGCATGATGGCATATACCTGTAATTCCAGCTACTTGGGAAGTTGAAGCAGGAGGATCCCAAGTTCTAGGCCAGCAACTTAGTAAAACTGTCTCAAAACTAAAGTTAAAAAGAAAGAAATGGTTGGGCATGGTGGCACATGCCTGTAATCCCAGCAGCTTGGGAGGTTGAGGCAGGAGAATCAAAGCCAGCCTCAGCAACTTAGCAAAGCCCTCAGCAACTCAGACCCTGTCTCAAAATAAAAAAATAGCTGGGTGTGGTGGCGCACACCTATAATCCCAGAGGCTCCGGAGGATCCTGAGTTCAAATCCAGCCTCAGCAACTTAGCAAGGCCCCAACTAAGTGAGACCCTGTCTCTAAATAAAATATAAAGGGCTGGGGATGTGGCTCAAGCAGTAGCACGCTCGCCTGGCATACGTGCGGCCCGGGTTCAATCCTCAGCACCACATACCAACAAAGATGTTGTGTCCGCCRAGAACTAAAAAATAAAATATTAAAATTCTCTCTCTCTCTCTTAAAAAAAAAATTGAAATTAAAAAAATTAAATAAAATATAAATAAAAAAGGATTGGGGACATGGCTTGGTGTTTAAGGTGCCCCTGAGTTCAATTCCTGGTACCAAAAAATAAAAACAAGCTAGAGATGTGGCTCACTAGTTAAATGCCCCTGGGTTCAATTCCCAGTACCAAAAATATATAACATAAAATTAAAAATTAAAACAGTGCATATTCTTTCAGCATCCAACAGACCCAACCTTTAGTTTGGCATGCCACTACCAGGAATTTATTTGATATGCATATGCATATGTGGGACATGTCATATATATAGAAATACCAAATAGTACTGTAGTACAGAGAAGAGTAAAAAGTTAGAAACACTGAATGTCCATTAATAGACCTGATTAAAAAAACTGTGATACCTACATTCTATAGAAGACTGAGCAGTCTGGGGCTGGGGATACTTGCCTTGCTGCACAAGGCCCTGGGTTCAATCACCAGCACCACAAAAAAAAAAAAAAAAGACTGAGCAATCACTGAAAAGAATAAACTTGCATTTTAGGCAAGTGCAGTGTTGCACACCTGTAATCCCAACTCTCAGGAGATTGAGGCAGGAGGATCACAAATTCAAAGTCAGCCTCAGCAAGTTAGTGAGACCCTCAACAAGTTAGTAAAAGCCCGTCTCAAAGACTGGGGATGTAGCTCTACAGTGCCACTGGGTTTAAATTCTAGTACCCAAAAACAAAAACAAAAACAAAAAAAAAGGAAGAGTGGTTATTTCTGGGAAGAGAAACTAGGTAGATAAGAAACAGGAGTGGAAGAGATTTTTTTTCTTATACCTTTTCATGAATCTTCTCAATTTTTTACCATGACCACTAAAACACACTTAAGAAAACTTTTTAAAAAGAGTTTTGTATCTAAAAGACCCAAACAACCTTAAAATCAGAGTTACTTTAGAAACAAATCAAATCTATAGTCAGATACTACTAAACATCTTCCAGAATGGATATAATTTAAAAGACTGACCATATTAAAAGTAATACAGTTAAACACAGAAAATGCAGATCTTTTTCATTAGTTTCAAATACATACAGCTTAGATTCTAGATAGCAGATGGGTAAAAATCATTAGTGGCAGGCGTTTATGTCAATTGACATTTCTCCTAATTAACAGTATCAAGTAAAAGGCTACATATGGAAGCAGGCAAAACAGAACAGAAAAAAAGAAGTTAAATCAATATACCTTTTCCTTTCCATTTAACCTTTGCAACAGACTGGCTAAAATCCACATGTATTCTTCTGTCATCGATAAGTACATTATCCATTTTGAAGAATGCTTTCTCACAATCTTCTTCCTATTGTAATTATTAAAAAAAGCATAAGTTTTTACAGAAAAGATTTCTGTAACAAGAACAAATTCTGAAAATACATAAAATTTATTGTTATTGAAATTGATATTTGAAAAATTCTTATACCAGATGTTGTTAAATGTTTTGCATCTATTATTTATCTCAACTAACTCTAGTAACAACCCAAGAGGTACTAAGAGAATTTTAGAGAGGTACTGAAGCTGCTAAAGATTACACAAGGGTCAAAGCCAAGAGTTTTAATCAAGATCTGATTGCAATAGACATAGATATCCTTCCCTTACAATTCCATACTCCTTTTCACTTAAAACTCCAAAATACTGTATCCTGAAAAGTGCAATCGTTTTTTTGTTTGTTTGATAAAAATTCAGTATTAAAAGTAATTGGGTAGCAACCTAATGAGGTTATGGCCTTTTTTGATTCTTAGTATGAATATTCATTTGCTTCACTGCAGAAATATTTTTGTGATACATTACAGAATGCTGGCCCAGAGGAGTATTACATAAGCCACAGATGTAATGTGTATTTGACTATATATCCACACACACAGTGTACCTTTCAAATCTAAAAAATTTCTAAATTTAGAAGCACAGCCAGTGCTTTTGAAGTCAGTGCAATGGCACACATCGACAATTCCAGAGACTTGGGAGGCTCAGACAAGAGGATTACATGTTCAAGGCCAATAAGGGCAACATGCCTCAAAATAATAAAAAGGGCTAGGGATGTATCTCAGTGGTAGAGCGGTTGACTAGCATGAGCAGGACCTGGGTTCACTCCCTCCACCACAAAACAAACATCTAGACATGGTAGGCAATCAATATTACTGTTGATTAATCTGATTAATTAAGTATGGGCAGTGATAATTTACACTGTGTCATTTTCCCAAAGAGAAAGTTTCTCAGATCATTTTTTTCAAAAGGATAGCATTTGAAAATAGTCAGCAGACTTACACCTAAAAAACAGTTAAGAATTTCTTCAGGTATGAGGGTGTAAGAACGTGTGCTTAGCTTGGGCCAGGCCCTAAGTTCAGTCCTCCAGCCTTCACTGAACTGATCTCCCTGTGGAATGGAAGAAAGGCACAGTAGTGCCTTTCAACAACAACAACAAAAGAGAAATGTCTTCAAAATTGAGAAACTGATTGAAAAATGCATTTAGAAATGTAAAAGACAAAATAGCCAAGAAAATCTTCAAGAATAAAGTCGGAGAACCCACACTACAAGATATCAAAAAACTATAGTGATTAAAAAATGTAACAGTGGTATAAGAATAAACAAATTGGGCTGGGGATGTAGCTCAGTGGTAGACCACTGGCTCAGCATTCATGAGACCCTAGGTTCAACCCCCAGAACCACTGCCAACAACAATAAAAGAATAGACAAACTGATCTGTGCAACAGTACAGCATCCAGAAACAGACATTGCACATAAATAGAGAGCTGATTTATGATAAAGGTGGCCCTCCAGAGCTATGGGAACAGAACAATCTTTTTAATAAGTGGTGGTAAGTCACTTGCCTATCCCATCTAAGAAAAACGAACCTTAAATGTAATACACAATAATMAAATTATATATCCAATGGGAAACAGTTTGCAACAAAGCTCTAAAAAATATAATAGGAAAATACCTTCATGACTTTGGAGAAGGCAAAGATTTTTTAAGCAGATTCAGAAAAAAATATTGACAAACAACTATTAAAATTAGAAATTTCTGTTTATTAAAAGACACTATTAAAAATGGGAAAAGGGGGCTAAGGATGCAGCTCAGTGGTAAAGCACTTGCCTAGCATGCACAAGGCTCTAGGTTTTATCCCTAGCACTATCAAAAAAAAAAAAAAAAAAAAAGAAAGAAAGAAAAAAGAAAATTCATAGAAGATAACTGCATAAAACATGCCCCCCACCCCTGCAAAAAATAGCTTGCACCCAGAAAATACAAAGAATTCTTAGAAACCAGTAAGTGAAATACACAATCAAAAAGTGGGTAAGTCTTGAATAGGTACTTCATTTAAAAAGTACATTTAAATGATAATAAATTTTTGAAAAAGTGACTCAATGAGGGAAATGTAAAGTAAAGCACAATAAGATACTACTAAAGATCTTCCAGAAGATATAACTTAAAAGACTGACCATATTAAGAGTTGGTCAAGACATGGAACAACATGGAGTACCAAACACTACTACTGGAAGTGAAAATCAGTATGACCACCTTGGAAAATTAATTGGAATTGTCTGCTAATGCTGCATCTACTGTAGGACCCAGCAATTCACAACTAGATATACATTCTGCAGAAATACATGCATACCACAACATCAGAAGGTGTCTTTACAGAAATGATTAGAAAATTTAAAAATAAATAAAAGACACAGTAGATCAAACAAAACAACAAAACTTTTTTATTTTTAGGTATTAGGAATTGAACCCAGAGCACTTTAACCACTGAGCCACACCCCTAGCCCTTTTAATTTTAGTTTTGGATAGATGCAGTACTTTTATTTATTTATTTTTATATGGTGCTGAGGATCGAACCCAGTGCCTCACACGTGCTAGGTGAGCACTCTACCACTGAGCCACAACTCCAGCTTTCCTCCAGCACTTTAAAAAAAAAAAAAAATCATTCATTCTTTCATTCATTTATTGGTACCAGGGATGGAAGCCAGGGGTACTTTACCACTGAGCCACATGCCCAACCCCCCCTTTTTTATTATTATTTTGAGATAGAGTCTTGCTAAGTTGCTTAGGGCTTTGCTAAGTTGCTAAGGCTGGCCTCGAACTTGCAATTCACTTGCCTGAGCATCTCCAGTCTGGTATTACACACATGTACTACCATGCTTGGAACAAAATTTACTTTCTCATAGTATCGCACATTGTAGTCAAAAATTGGAAAGGACCTAAATGTCTATTAACAGCAGAATGGAGATCTAAATCATTTTATATGTATACAATAAAATACTATGTAAAAAAAATTGACTTTAAAAAGTTAACTTTAAAAACCACATACAGTAACACATATAATCTTATAATACTAGCAGAAGAAGCAAGACATGACAGCGCATGCCTGTAATCCCRCAACTCAAGAGGATGAGGCAGGAGTATCCCATGTTTGAGGCCAGTCTCAGCACTTAGCAAGAATGTCTCAAAATAAAAAATAAAAATGACTGAGTATGTATGTAGCTCAGTGTATAAGGCCTTCAGTTCATTAAATCCTCAGTACCTAAATAAATAATAACAAAAAGAATCAAGATGCATATGAACACACTGTGTTCCCATTTATATCAAGGTTAAAATTAGACAAAACTGGGCTGGGATTGTAGCTCAGTGGCAGAGCTCTTCCTCACACACTGGGTTCGATCCTCGGCACCCATAAAAATAAATAAAATAAAGGTATTGTGTCCCTCTATAACTAAAAAAAAATTAAGACAAAACTAATCTATGAGCTGGGCATGGTGGTGCACGCCTATAATCAAGCATCTTGGGAAACTGAGGCAAGAGGATCTCAAGTTTGAGGTCAGCCTCAGCAATTTAGCAAGATGCTGTCCCAAAATAAAAAGAAAATAAAAAGGGCTAGGGATATAGCTTAGTAGTGGAGTGCCCCTGAGTTCAATCCCCAGTACAAAAATAAAAAAACAAAACATATTCATAAAATAAACACCAAACCTAATATATCTCATTTATGCATACCTTTTCAAATTCAATAAAAGCATAGCAGAGGGACTCTCCTGTCTTCCAATCCCGAATAACTTCACAACTGAAAGAAAGTTTTAAAAAGTGACTTTGTTTTTAAAAAAGGAAAGTATTCACTCATACTCTGCGGAACTAAATAACATAATAAGCCAGTTATTAAAAAGGCAAAGTTAAGCTGGGTGCTGTCCTGAACACCCGTAATTCCAGTGACYCAGGAGGCTGAGGTAGGAGGATCAGAAGTTCTAGGTCATTCTAGGCAACTCAACTCTATCCCAAAATAAAAAATAAAAAGGGCTGAGAGGTAGCTAAGTGAGGGAGTGCCCCTGTTTCAATCCCTAGTACTGAAAAAAAAAAAAAAAGGCCAAATTAAACTCACCATATTTCTTAAATAACAAGTCTTCTTTTTTAAAAAAAATACTTTACTAACCCAGTACACTCTAAATGACCTAGATAGGCCTACAGTCCTTAAATTCCCTAAGCACTAAGGAAATAAAACAAAAATATTTAACTTTCCTTTAACAAAAATAAACTCCTATAAAGTTTTTAAATCACAAAGATGAATTACAACATACACATATAAATGTTTAAGCAAGTCTACACTTAGGAATTTTAATATCAAGGTAAAATTTAATACCGTGAGTATAGCTTTTACATGGAAATAATCTATTGTACAATAAACAAGCAAAATGGCCAATAAGCTGAAATTGACTTGTCTACTTCTCCATGTACCATAGTCTTACTTCAAAAATATGAAACAAAATAGTAAAATAATACATTTTAATCAATTATAAAATAGTCATCTTTCTCACAGAAATACTGCCTTCATAGACTTTTGCATTAGTAATGCAAGGAAAATAAACCAAAAGAAAAAAAATTGAAAAATTTAAGTTTGAAACAGATTGCTGGTAATTTTAGGAGTAAAATGAGATAAGTATATTAAATATTAAAGAGGACTGTTGAAAATTTATAAAAATAGACCTAAATCATCCCACTTATTTCCTGTTTTAAAGTGAAAACTTTTGCGCAGCGAGTAGAAACATCAAATATTTTTCTTTATGTATTCTTTTCTTTCTTACTGTTCAAACATTCACTTGTAAAAATTCACCAGCATAAAATTCAACCAAAGTTCACAGACTCACCCAAAATATGTCATTAGAAAACCATCAATACCTATATTTTTCCAAATTTCTCTTTTATTAATTGCAGGATTTACCCTTTTTTTTTATTTAGTTGTAGCTGGACACAATGCCTTTATTTTATTTATTTTTATGTAGTGCTGAGGATCCAACCTAGCACCTCGCACGTTCTAGGCGAGCGCTCTACCACTAAGCCACAACCCCAGCCCCAGGATTTACCTTCTTATTGGCCCAAATCTTGAGAATATTATTTCCAGATCCTCATCTGTGGTCACTGGATTCAATTTACATACAAACAGCACATTTTCTGGAGGTTTAATATCTGCATCAGGTAGATCTCCTACCTAAATTATAAACAAAAACTTAAGTCAATTCCTTTACTKAGGTTCCATCCTAAATACTTTATCTAAGGCCACAACACAGATTTCCCTAAAATATCTAAATTTCCTCCATAAATTCCAGCCTTAGGAAAATAAATCTTATAAGACTTTAAAATTTGAAACTCTACCATTCCTGGTATTAACAATATTATATTATGTGCATAATGAATCCCACTATTATATATAATTATAAGGCAATATTACAAAAACAATAAAAAAAATAATAACAGCTAATATTTGCACCACAAAAAAGAACTGAGAGAATGGTAAAGTGGACATAGCAAAAATGTTAAAAATTAGTGAATCTGGGCTGTGGTTGTAGCTCAGTGGTAGAGCACTTGTCTAGCATGTGTGAGGCACTGGTTCAATCCTCAGCACCATATAAAAATACATAAAAGTACTATGTCCATATACAACTAAAAAATTTTTTTAAAAATTGGTGAATCCGGGGCTGGGGGGTGTAACTCAGTTGGTAGAATGCTTGCCTCGCATGCACAAGGCCCTGGGTTCAATCCCCCACACTACATACACACAAAAAAATTGGCAAGTCTTACTTTATGTTAATTGTACCTCAATAAAAATTGACATAAAAATTGTTTTAAAAAAGGGTATTAAAAGTAAATACTTAAAAAAAATTGGTGAATCCTAGTAAAAGGTATATATAACTTCTATACTCTGTTCTTCTATAAGTTTGAAATTATCTAAAAACATAAAAGTTTTAAAAATGACAATCCATTTTTCCTTTGGCACAAACTTCCTGAAGTTTTACAGTTGAAGTTTGATTATAATCTAATAATATTTCCCTTATAAGTCACTTGTTCTTCTTGCCAGTTCCTCAAAAGATCTAGGGGCATTTAACCACTGAGCTACATCTCAAGCCCTTTATTATTTCTTGTCAGGGTTTCATTAAGTTATTTAGGCTGGCTTTGAAATTATGATCCTCCTGCCTCATAGAGGTGTGAGCCACTATACCCTGCCTCAAAAGATCTTTCTTTTATGTCCAATAATTAAAAAATTTTTTTATTTGTTCTTTTTAGTTACACATGACAGTAGAATGTATTTTGCCAAATTATACATATATAAAATATAACTTATGCTATTTAGGATCCCACTGTTGTGGCTGTACATGATGTAGAATTACCCTGGTTGTGTATAAAAATACAAGGCTAGGAAAATTATGACTGATTAATTCTACTATCTTTCCTATTCCCCTCCCTAATCCTTTCCCTTTGTCTAATCCAGTGGATTTGTACGATTCCCCTTCCCAACCTCCTTTGTTTTGGGTTAGCATTCACAAATCAGAGAGAACATTTGGGATTTGTTGTTTTGGGGATTGGTTTATTTCACTTAGCATGATATTCTCCAGTTCTATCCATTTACCAGCAAATGCCATAATTTCATTCTTCTTTATGGCTCAGTAATATTCCATTGTCTATATGTAACACATTTTCTTTATCCATTCATCCAATGAAGGACACTTGGGTTGTTTCCATAACTTGGCTATTGTAAGTTGAGCTGATGTGGCTGCATAAATGTAGTATGCTGCTTTTAAGTTCTTTTGAGTATAAACCAAGGAGSGGGATAACTGGGTCAAATGGTGGTTCCATTCCAAGTTTTCTAAGGAATCTCCACACTCTTTCCATAGTAGTTGCACCAATTTGCAGTCCCACCAACAATACATGAGAGTACCTTTCTCCCCACATCCTTGCCAACATTTTTATTTGTATTCTTTACAATTGCCATTCTGAGTGGAATGAGATGGGCTCTCACTGTAGTTTTAATTTGCATTTCTCTAATTGACAGAGATGTTGAACATTTTCCATATTTTTTTTTTGACCATTTGTGTTTCTTCTTCTGTGAAGTGTTTGTTTAGTTCCTTTGCCCATTTACTGATTGGGTTATTTATTTTTCTGGTGTTAAGTTTTTTGAGTTCTTTGTATATCCTGGACATTAATGCCTTATCTGAGGTACTTACGATGGTGAAGATTTTCTACCAATCTGTAGAATCTCTGTACATATTCCTGATTGTTTCCTTTGCTGAGAAGTTTTTCAGGTTGATACCATCCCATTTATTGATCCTTGATTTTACTTCTTGTGCTTTGGTCTTCATATCTGTTTTGGTTCCAATACCATGCTGTTTTTGTTACTATAGATCTGTAGTGTAATTTAAGGTCTGGCATTGTGATGTCTCTCTCCTGCATCACTTTTCACTCTAAGGATTGCTTTTTCTATTTCTGTGAAGAACAACATTGGGATCTTTATAGGAATTGCATTAAATCTGTAGAGTGCTTCTGGTAGTATGGCCATTTTTTTTAAATATTCATTTTTAGGTGTAGTCGGACACAACACAATGCCTTTATTTTTATTTTATGTGGTGCTGAGGATCGAACCCGGGTCCCAGCCGTGCTAGGCTAGGGCTCTACCGCTGAGCCACAATCCCAGCCCCAGCATGGCCATTTTGATAATATTGATTTTGCCTACCCAGGAACATGGAAGATCTTTCCATTTTCTAAGGTCTTCTTCAATTTCTTTCTTTAGAGTTCTGTAGTTTTCACTATAGAGGTCTTTAAACTCTTTTCTCAGGTTGATTTCCAAATATTTTACTTTTTTGAGGCTAATTGTAAAAGGGATAATTTTCCTGATATCTCTTTCAACTGATATATCCTTGGTGTTTAGAAATGCAATTGATTCATTGATGTTGATTTTATGTTCAATAGTTTTCTTAGAATTTGTCTTGCTATTGATTGTTCTGGATCAATACTCTTAGGTGTATATATGCTCAATTAAAAATGCCTGTGGCTGGGTACAGCGGCACATGCCTATAATCCCAGTGGCTTGGGAGTCTGAGATAGGAGGATCATGAGTTCAAAGCCAGCCTCAACAAAAGTGAGGCGCTAATCCACTCAGCAAGACTGTGTTTCTAATAAAATACAAAAACGGGCTAGGGATATTGCTCAATGGTTAAGTGCCCTTGGGTTCAATTCCTAGTACCAAAAAAAAAAAAAAAAAAAAGTGTTTCCAGCCTGGCCTATGCCTGCAACCTGAGTGATTTGCGAAGGTGAGGTAGGAGGATAACAAGTTCAAGGCCAGCCTGGATAATTTAGCAAGACTCTGTCTCAAAATAAAATTAAAAATAGGGGTGGGAATGTGGGGATATAGTTTTTAGTGGTAGACTTCCTTGGGTTCAATTCCCAGTACTGCAGAAAAGAAAAAGTGTATTTTCAACTTTTGTTTATTTCATTAAAGTTCTCTGAAATGAGARCTTTTGGCATTTATTCATTAATACTGGTAACATAAATATAAATTAATTAATAGAATATAAATTAATATAAATTTTAAAACAGACCAAAAATATAAAAACACTATTATGTACAATAATATTAAAAACAAAATTGTTATCCTTTCACTTAAGTGTTTATTAATCATCTATTATATAATATGCATACCTATTTCTTAAAAATAAGAAGGAAAAAAATGCCTATTACGTCAATTAATGGTTTACTGAATAACTAATCCCCAAATGACTTCATACTATGAGCAAGACAAAGGAGTGTATACCAGTTAAAAAAATATATAAATGTGCATATATATGTATATATATATATATATTTTATATGTGCAGACATGTATTTATATATTTTTTAACTGATACACAAACATGAAAGTTGTACAAATATGTAACAACAAATCCCATTGTTATATAAAATTATAATGAACAAATAGAAAGGAAAAGAGAAAACATCAAAAATTATATATTTGAAGAAGTATATTTTAGAATTTTCAATTTTTACCCAGGTTTATTTTATCATTCAATGACTATTCTATTTAATTTCAATATTTGAGTGGTACAATGAAGAATTATTCTTAACATAAGATTTAATCTAATAAACATGCTTTTAAAAAGAGGTGAATATTAAACAATTGCAATTCAATTAATATTCATGTTAAAAATAATGAAATATCCACTTTCCATTTTTTATAAAAGCACTTGATACTATAATGATAATGGAACTGAATTTATTCATTTTCATGTGTTATTATATCATTCAAAATTTAATCTAGAGGAAAACTCTAAACTGAATTTTTAATATTTTACAACTATCATAAGAGCCAGAAATAAACTTATAAATAAATATGCATTAAATATATGGCAGATCAACTATTTGAACAAACATAATCATCTTACCATCTCTAAAAGAATAGCTTGAGTTTTGGCCTCTTTTTCTGCCTTTATTTCTTCTACTTCTTCAGCTGATCTTCCTTTGAAATCATCAATTTCTTCGTCTGCTCCTATTCGACCACTCTGTAAGGCAGAAGTTATTAATATAAATATTTAACAAATAAAAAAAATCTGAGAATCATGAAAGGTATTATGCTTCATTTACAAACCTCTGAAACTGATTTAAATTAATTCTATGACATTAGCCAGATTGGGCTTCTGATTTATTAGGAAATGAAAATAAACATCTATATAGATACTATTATCCAATTAAGTGCTGCTTGGAGAAGATAAATCATCTTAGAAATAAGCAAGCATCAATTTCAACCATAAAGATAAATTTGYCTTTGAGAAAGCCTCAAAAGCAAAAATTTATATCTTAGAATATCTGGGGGAAAGTCTGTGTTGTTCCACAGAAATTTCTGGTTCTAGCCTGGCTCTAGAGTATCTCAAGTTGAAAAATTCCCTCCCAGGATGATTGTTTAGTTTGGCCTTGAAGTTATTCTTCTAACTAGAGTTAGATTAAAAAAAAAAAAAATTCCAGATTCATATAAGCTTCCAGTGCTAAGGCTGTTCCAATGAAATAGATATTAAAAAAAGGAAGTCAGGGAAATAAACAGATAACTAGAAAAATGAGTATCTCCATGGAGTAGAAAAAGAACTCAACTCRTTCTAGTATAATTTATTAAGCAAAATAGTCATTATGAAGAAATTAATTTTTAATAGACTAAGAAGTTAAATCCATGCAAATTAATATGCACATACATTCAATCACAAGAAGGCTCTACTTACATCTAACTGTTCCTTTGTGGGTTCTGGTGATCGATCAGGAATTATTAAATCAGGAGGGTCATCAAACGGATCATCTAAAATCACTGTGTGATTTATCCTTACAAAAGTCCAAGTCAAATGTTACATTAAATATTTCAAAATCTATATTTTATTTTCATAGAATAACTTAAGTATCTTTAATGCCAAAACCCCCATTTTGCACAAAGATATTACTAATTCACAGTACACTTTCACAATGAGTATTACCGGTTTCCAATTTTTTTATATATTTCTCTGCATTACTTCAAAGAAGCAAAGTAAATGTCTAAATCTTAGTAATTTTCCACATTTCTCAATAAATTGCATTTAAAAATGAAAGCACAGTAATTTTTCCTAACAAAATCTATTATAAATAATTAGTACAAGTAGCAGGACACAGTGGTGCACACCTGATATCCCAGCCACTTGGGAGGCTGAGGCAGGAGGATCACAACTTTGAGGCCAGGCCTTGAAACTTAGTGAGGCCCTAGGCAACTTAGTGAGATCCTGTCTCAAAATAAAAAATAAAAAGGGCTGGGAATATGGCTCAGTGGTTAAAAAACCCTGGGTTCAATTCCTGGTACCAAAAAAATTTAAAAAGGGCTGGAATATAGCTCAGTGGTTAAGTACCCCTGGGTTCAATTCCTGGTACCAAAAAAGGAAAAAAAAAAAAAAAATTAGTATAAGTAGAAAAACACAAAAGGTTCTTTTTATGAGGATTCATTTTATATTAATTCACATTTTGGAATTAGTCAAAAACTAGTCCTATGTGCACCAGTCTCGTCACACATCACAGTATTAAAACATTCTAATACATTCAAGATAGTGAATTGTAATAATACCTGATATCCTGATATGGTACAAAATCCTTGTCAACAAAAGTCTCATTAATTTTCTTAACTATGTCCATGCCTTCTGTCACTTCACCAAATACTGTATGAACACCATCAAGGTAATCTAGATTTTCTCCTGTAGTAATAAGAAACTAACAGAAAGACAAAATAAATACAAAAATATGTATGTGTGTGTGTTTTGTCAGCTAAATTGACAAAACACACACACACACACACACACACACACACACACACACGAGTGAAACTCTACATTTACTGCACCAGTTCTTAAAAACTTGTTCCCAGAACTAAATAAAAAACAGAGTTTATATATAAGTTATCAACATGTACACAGATGTTTCCTCAATTGTTTAAAATGATTGGAAAAACCATGGCTCATTTTCTTCATGCATAAACAGTGAAAAACAATAGCACCTACCATAATAGATGGTCATGAGGATTAACCTTCCAATTAATCTATTTATTTATTTAATTTATATTTTTCTGTGGTGCTGAGAATCAATCTCAGGGTCTAGCACATATTAGGCAAGCATTTTACTACTAAGCTAGACCCCAAGCCCCAGTAATCTGTCTCCGTCTCTTTCTCTCTYTTTTTTTTTTTTTGGTGCTGGGCATTGAACCCAGGGCCTTGTGCATGCAAGGCAAGCACTCACCATCTGAGTTGTACCCCCAGCCCCCTAGCAATCACTTATAAAATAGTCAAAGGGAGAAGAATGCAGCTCAGTAGTAGAGTGCCTGCCTAGCAAGTATGAAGACCTGAGTTTGATCATAGTATCACGAAAAAATAAAAAATAAAAATAAGTAATAAACACTGAAAGGGTCTATAAATGTGAAAAGTAATAATCATGAACAGGATTGTGGTTAATATTATTCTTCTTTGTACTTTTCTGTATTTTCTAAATTATTCACAATGGGCAGGGCTTATATTTAAAAGAAGAAAATAATGTTTTCTGTTTTGCTTCAATCCCAGAGCCTTGTACATGTTAAGCATCTCCTCCACCCCTGAACTTCACCCTTAGATCTTTTCTTTTTTAAATTTTTAAAATTTATTATTATTTATACATGACAGTAAAATGCATTTTGACACTCATACATAAATGGAGTATAACTTCTCATTCTTATGGTTGTACATGATGTAGTATATAGTTTTTAAAATATTTTTTTTAGTTGTAGATAAACACAATACTTTTATTTTATTTATTTTTTATTTTTATGTGATGCTGAGGATCAAACTCAGTGCCTCATGAGCTTGAGGCAAGTACTCCACCACTGAGCCACATACCCAGCCCAATATATTTTTAATATAAGAAATATAGTGCAAGTTTTTTCTAATACATATCTTTGAATATGATTAACACATTCTTTCATTACTGAACAGCTTAAAAAGCCACTTTGTAAGTGGCTTCCAGTCCTTCATTTCTAAGCAAAGTTCATTTTATACACATTTCCTAACCTGAGATCCATGCTGATCACTGCCATTGTTCACCATGGACACAGTGCCTTTCTTCTTGTGCTTAATTCTTGGCACTTTTTCTGCCTCAAAAAAGCTTGCTTGATCACCGTACAGCTGACTGGAAATACATATAATAAGGTTATAAAATATAAGTTCTGTCAAAATATAAATGTAGAAGTACTATAATATAGTATTACCAACTACTTCTCTATAGAAATGATACTATGATTCAAAAGACTCCTCTCTTTTACTAAAAACATTTAGAAACTTTCCCAAGTTTCCTACATTTTAATCATATTTTAATATGAAGACTTAAAAATAAGCAATTCTAGTTTTCATTTAAAAATAAAAGAACCTACCCAAAAATAGACTCTCCTCCTCGACCAGTCCCAGTAGGATCACCAGTTTGTATGATAAAATCCCTCTATAATATTCAGAAATTTTTGTTAATTGTCACAGAGTTTGACAGTTCCAATAACAAAGGACATGACTAACAACCACTAACTCACCTGTACATTGTGAATAAGGCAATAATTGTAATATTTTATTTTGCACAATTTCAGGAAATTCAAGCAGGCTGAAAGACAGTAAATATACAATTTATTATAGTAATCCACAAATTTGGTTTTAAACAAGTAAAACCACAGTTAGTACAATTTAATATCTAAATTACTATCAAAAGTAAAACAATAGTTAAATTCCAAAGTCAAGTGAACACAAATAGTTACAATACTAGATATCTAATAGCATAATTTATGCCACTTAAATAGTAAAATGGTAAAAAGTAGTATAAAAACTGTTACAAGGGTTCAAAAGAGAGATTGTTTCTAGATGAGGAAATTAAAAGACTCATGGAGGCTTTGGGAAAACATTCAAAGATCTGGACTATACTGGAACATCACATGGTATACCAAAAATATGAGCAATATTTATATGTCAATTAAAAATAAATATATAATAAAAGAACTGGGCTGGCAGAGAGTAAAAAGTGAAAATTTCATGCTGGGAAGGTATATGGAAAAGCCTAGAAGTGGGAATTTAATTTTGCAAGGAGGGTGGTATCCAAAAGATCAATCTAAATTCTACAATATTCTGGTATTACAAAATGATAGATGGTGAAAATCTGGAGAGATGGTGCCCAAGGTGTTGGACAGTCTTCAATATCAAGTTTTCAATTGTTTTCTTGAAAATATTTCTGAACTCATTGTGAAGAGACAGAATTACAGGCTGGGGTTGTGGCTCAGCGGTAGAGCATTGCCTGGCATGTGTGAGGTCCTGGGTTCAAATCCTAGCACCACATATAAATAAATAAACAAAGGTCCATCAACAACTTAAAAAAAATTCTTTAAACAAAAAAAGAAAAGAGACAGAAGTAATCCTTTTACTAGAAAACAAAAATAATGGACCTAGGCAATGACCATCAATGGCTGCCAAAATCTTTAGATGACAAACTGATGGAAACACTTTAAAGGCCTGAAACCACTGTCTAAGTTCAATATCACAAAAAGAGCCAACCAGACGTCAAGTGCCTCCTAAATGTGATGTAGGCAAAAGTACACTCTATATGAAACATTCTTGCCCCAAACAAATTTGATGGAGGTTCTGAATCTAAACAATTTATACAAAATAGAAGGGATAGAGGAATATGTTAAAAGACACAAAAGAGAAATAATCAGCCAAATGCCAAATGAAATTCTACAAAACAAATGACCCAGATTCTTTCTCAAGAATTTTTTCGGGGGGAAAAAAGGGGTAGGGGGATACCATAAGCTAAAACATTTAAGAAATATATTAATCAATATATATAGGTATTGTTGAGATCCTAGTTTAAAATATCACATTTTAAAAATGTTCAAGAGCTAAGAGGAAAGTTTAAATAATACCAAGAAATTATTGTTAACTTTTTAAGGTATAATAATGATTTGTGGGTTTTTTTTAAGGAATTATCTTGTAATTCAATAAATCCAGTAGAGGTGGGTTTATCATAAAGGAAACAAGACTGGGACTAGTTATGTGATGAGAACTGTTAAACAAAAATGGCCACGGAATATGAGACTTCATTTACATGACTGTCTCTACATTTATAATACAAAGTAAAAAGAGAAAAAGAGAGAGAGAGAGAGAGAGCACGCATGCAGGAAAGATTGAATATACTATCAAATGATAAGCAGGTATTCATATACCTTCAAATATGTATACATGTGGACTTGGGTTTTTGGTATTTTAGGCTACCTACACAGAACCACTGCTTTCTAATTATGTAAGGCCTTATAATATGGCCTTATAAGGCCTTTCTAATTATGTAAGGCCTTATGTAAGGCCTTTCTAATTAAAGGTAAGGCCTTACCTTACCTTTAGTTCTTTACAACACTGGGAAGAGACCCATTCATTTTGTAAGATGCTGCTCTACAGGGACAGAGTCAATGGAACTTAAAGGAAAGCAAAACGAAGAGACAAAAAACACAAGTCTCATTGGGTAAGATGGCACATGCCTATAATCCCAGTAACATGGGAGGATGAGGCAGGAGATTTCAAATTTTGAGGTCAGCCTCAGCAAGTTAGTGAGACCCTCCCTCAAAACAAAAAATAAAAAGGACTGGGGATGTAGCTCAGTGGCTAAGTGCCTCTAAGTTCAATACCTAATACCAAAAATAAAAATAAAACAATCCAATTCCCTAAATCATCCTTTTGTATGTGTGTGTGTGTGTGTGTGTGTGTGTGTGTGTGTGTGTGTGTTTTGCTTGGGTTTCAACTACAACATCTCTTGAACTCAGAGATTCAGTCATCTGTAAAGCCAAGCTTACTGCAATAACATAGGCAATTATTTTGTTTAAGCCAGTTTTAGTTGCATTTTTATCACATGCAAAGAGTCCTAGAATACAACACATTTATATGCATGGGCCACTACAATTAATCTCTAAGTTTGTCTCAAAGTGGAAGACACTGTACTGGATACTCAAGACACAGAGATAATTAAGGTACAGTTTCTGCTCTCATTGAAGTACATTCTTGAGAGGAGATGAGACTTATATAAATAATTTCAGGACAATAGGTAAATGTCATAATGAGTGTCATATGACTTACAAAGCTACCTGAGGCAGAGCACAAGGAACAGATCTAACAGATCTGCTTTGGGACCAGGAGTGCTGCATAGAAGAGATCATGCTTGATCTGAGATTTGAAAAAGCAGGGTTCTCCAGAAGAAAAAGAGTGTAGCAGAACATGGAACCGGGCAACAGTAAGCGAAGGGTAAAAACTATAAAGAATAAGTGTTTGCAGGGGACAGGCAACAGCTGAGGGTGGGGAGTAGGAGACACTCACTGTACAGCACTGAAGCCAGTTTCATCCTCTTTGATAAACTGCATTTCTTGGGGACAGGACCCAGGCTGTAACTAATTTCTCCTAGTCTCCAACTTTTCCTAAATCTGAAACATTCTCCACACTGCTGCCTATTACTTTCTCAAAGCAAGTATGCTACGCACGCACACATCAATCCTACTTTTAAAACCTTCTTTCCAAAACTCTGGTCCTCAGAATGGCACACAGAATTATTCAGGATCTGACCTAATCTTACCTGACCAGACTGCAAGTCTACCACTTCCCTTCACATACCTCCTTCCAAACTACTTGCCATTTCCCCAAACTCCAAGCAAACCAGGAGAAAAACCTTCATTCCCACTCATCTTTGAAAAAGCTAGTAGATGTGTTCTCACTTCGCATCTCCCTACCAGGACTAAAGAATTACTCTCGCCTCTGGTTTCCATAGCAACTTACACGTTCCTCCACAACAATTTAAGAGTTCAGACGGATTCGTGCATCGAAGTCTCCCAGGGGAGAATCAGACCATAAAGGGCAGGACGCCTAGGCTAGGGCTTAGCCCAGTGGCTTGCAGCCTCTGTCCATACCTCTGGGCACCGGCTTCTTCCCTCTAGACGGGACGCGATGCCAACACTCGCTGTGCCAAGCACATCCTCCTTGCTTTTAAGACTGAACTGATCACACACCAATGAATATTTGTTGTGTTCCTCTCAAGACAAGAGAAAGCAGAGTAAAACCACAAAAGCCACTGGCATAGCATAGGCAGCCTCCTCACCCCACACACCCAAAGGCAATTCATGACCGCAGCGCCCTGCGCCCGACCGGCCCACACAAGATGCAGGAGAAGCGCTGCCTAGGTTCAAACGAATTCTCCTCACAAAAACTTTTCTAAACAAGGCCCGCTAATGGAATAGTGTGGCGGCGGGCACCAGCAGCTCGAGCCAGTGGCCCCTGGGGACCTGGGGAAGCAGAGAGGGGAAAGCGGGGAGACGGGCTCGTGGTCCCGGCCAGGGGTGATCGGGGCGTGAGCCTCACCACGCGGCCGCTCCTCCGTGTACAAGTCTATGACGACGTCGCCCAAAGTGGTCTCCAGCAGAACCGCCATGGCGCCGGCTCCTCCTCGGCAACAAGCCCCGGGAGGCGGGGGGCGGAGGATTGACAAGCGCGGCCCGACGTTTTCTACGCCACGCGTCGCCCTGGGCGCGACGCGTGCTTGCGTCATCCCCCGGCGCCACCGCCCTCTTTCGGGCTGCTTTTTCTTTTGGCTCAGTCAGCGCTTGGTCAACCCCGCAGGAGTTTCTCTGTTGCGGAACGTTTGAAAGTCCGGGTTGGCCCTTGCTGACCCGTCTGCGAGCCTATCTCTCAGAGGATAACGCTATAAGATTTTTGTGCCCCTTTTTATGCCCATCTTCAGAATAGGAAGGTTCTCCTGGCGGCGTGGTGGTCCCCGACCTTCTTTTCGATTCTCTTCTCACAGCTCTACATTGAGAACTCCAGGCCCGAAGCTCACCGTTTGTTACTGGGAAAGGTGATTAACAAGGAGTTTGTTTTTTCTGCGAGTACTGTCTAGCGACTAACCCTGGTAGTAGCCACACATGGCGAGTATAAAGTATAACTTCGTTAGGTTTTGGAATAAGTATAATAAGTATAACTTCCTTTGTTCGACAAGCTAAAAAGTAACAGGCGTTATCCCCAAATCTCTACTGGTATGATGAATACTCTAGAAGACTTAAAACTAGTTTTGACTTCTCTTTGGGGTTTTGGGCCCTCCAGTAACAGTTTTCTGTGCAAACTTTACTCTCCACTCTCCTGGTCAACAAACTTGCTCTCTTGTATGCATTCTTACTCTCTCTTTATACGTATCAATGTAAATCTGGGATGTGTGCTATGGCTGAGCATGGGCAATTCCAAGGAGACAAAGAAAGACACGGGTTTTTGAAGGTAAAATGAAGGTTACGTAAATTGTTTTGAAATTATTCTATTCTAGAAAGACGAAACAAGGTGGTATCCGCCAAGGTAGACATTCTGGCAGAAATATTCTTTGTGGGGCTGGGGATATAGCTGTCTTGGTGTAGAGTGCTTGGCTCGCATGAGCAGGCCCCGGGTTCAATCCCAGCACCACACAAACACACACACACTCACCTTTTTTATGAGAGGTGTGCAGGTTAAGATCCTTGTAGATTTTCAACACGGCATATGTTCCTGAGAGCCTTTCCTTTATGGTCTCATGCCTTCGTTTTGTTAGGTTTTGGAATAAGTATAACTTCATCTTGATTCTAGCAGCTTTCACACCTAGAACCTCCAGTTAACTTCTTATCTGACACTAAGCCAAAGTTTTTATAATAGTTTACAGGCCTTACATGAACTCCTTCTACTCCATCTTCCTGTCTTCTTTCTTATTCCCCTGAAACTACACTAGCCTTTTTTGCTGTTCCCTGAACACTGGGGACAAATACCTGCATCAGGGCCTTTTCACTAGCTGAACTTTCTAGTTGGAGTTTTCATCATCTAGTATGGTATTTAGGAATTTGTTTATCGTTGTTACAGTGTATATTCCAGAAATATAATAAACTTTGTTGCTTAATTCCTAGTGCCTACAGATTTTCCATGGGGAGTTTTAATTGGTAGATTTAAAACAAGCAGGCATGAGTTCCAGTAGGTCACACTGTGGCTGAGAGTTGGTCACTATGGCTTATCTGCCCAGTATCTGTCGGTATGAAGGTTAGTAGGGCCACTTGAGCAGGCTGCATCTAGCTGTCCCCTATAGAGATGCTCAAGAGGGGCAGTTGTGTTAGACAGGTATCTGKATTATCCATACTGAAGAACTGGGTGGAGGTATAGAACTGGAAACCATGTAAAGGGTGACTGAACTCTGCTTCTGGTTTGAGAAAGTCCACCTTATATTCAGAATGGATGCCAAGGCCACGTAAAATTATTTACCTATGCATCTGGGTTACTATGACTCAAAATTATTTATACCTCCACCATTTAATTGTTGTTAACATTTGTCATAGATGACTTTCCCTTTTCTTTCTTTTTTTAATATGACAATTTTTATTCATTTTTTTTAATGGTACTAGGGATTAAACCCAGGGGCACTTTACTACTGAGCCACATTTCCAGCCCTTTTGTTGTTGTTGTTGTTTTGTTTTTTTTTCATTTTGAGACAGTCTCACTAAGTTACTGAAAGCCTTGCTAAGTTTCTGAGGCTGGCCTAGAACTTGCAATTCTCCTCCTCAGCCTCCCAACTGCTGGGATTACAAGCATATGCTACCATGCCCAGCCCTGACAAGATCTCTAACTAGGATACTCTTTCTTTTTAGAGCTGGGGATTGAATCCAGGGCACTTCACATGCTAGACAATAACTCTACCACACCCCTTCCCTGAAGGATACTAATCAAGCAAAATTTACAGTACACTTTTTAACATCCTTGGGAATGGCTCTCTTTGCACACCCTCAGGTTGTTGATACCAGTTAGCTGGGGTAGCAGACAGTAGGAGATGTATCTTGGATGTGATTCTTCTCTGTTTTTGTGGTAGTAAGAAGTAAATATCTATCACACTCTYCTGTTTCTCCATTTCTCCCAACCCAGTTCATGCCAAATTTTCCAAATCAGTGAAGGAACATTTTATTGCTCTGTGTATGTGTGGAGGGGGTTGCTGGGGATTGCATCCAGGGCTTCATACATGCCAGGCAAGCACTCTACTAAATTATGATGTTTAACTTTTAATATGAACCAGTATAATATGTTGGTTCACAATGCCAGGGCTAAAATTCATGGCCCCATCACCATTCTTTAATTTAGGGCAAAACATTTAATCTCTATAAATTTTTTTTAATAATTTTTTTTGGTTGTAAGTGGACACAATACCTTTATTTTATTTACTTTTATGTGGTGCTGAGTATCAAATCTAGTGCATCACACATGCTAGGCAAGCACTCTACCACTGAGCTACAAYTCCAGCCCCTATAAATATGTTTTGTATATAAAAAATGGAATCATAATTCATCACAATAAATGCTGGCTGCCACAATGATATTTCTGAATTGTTTTTCATATGAGAAGCATCATCCATCATGGTGGGTCTAATAAAATTCACTTCTAAATTAATGGATGAGAAGTACACTGTAAAAGCAGTTTTTTAATATCTTAGAAAATATAAGATAAAATTTGTCAATGATTTTTAAGAGATGTAAAAAAGTATATCCTTGTTTCTTGCTCTCCTTATTATCCTCTCCTGGAGGTCTTCAGGAAGTTCAAAAATATACAGTTGAGTAAATGTGGAAAAGAGGAGTGGAAATGTGTTTCAACATCAGTGCAGTGACTCACTCTATCCCAGAAATTGAAACCAGATACAAAGTGTCCCAGTCTTCCCTTTGGTATCCAGCCTGCTTTGTTTTTTTTGTTTTTTGGTTTTTTTTTTTTAATTTTTTTATAGTTGTAGATGGACAGCATGCCTTTATTTTATTTGTTTATTTTTATGACCACATAAAAATAAACCCAGTGCCTCACAAGTATAAGGCAAGTACTCTACCRCTGAGCCAAGCCCCAGCACCCAGCCTGCTTTGAATTGCAGAAAAGCTGAATTCAAATTTCAAATATGGGAATGATGAAAATAACAAATCATTGGCTGAAGAAGGAAATAAATCATGGTTTGGGGTCCAAGGGTATTATCTGATGAAGGAATGAAGGGATTTTTTTTTTGTGTGTGTGTGTGTGTGTGTGTGTGTGTGTGTGATGCTGGCCCAGGGCCTTGTGTATGTGAGGCAAGCACTCTACCAACTGACCTATATCCCCAGCCCCTGAAGATTTATTTTTAATACAACTTACATGCTGTTAGAAATTTTTAGACTATTTACTGTTACTTGAAAGATTATCTTCATTAAGTGGAAAGCACTTTGTGTGTACTGAACTACAGTGGATTCCTGTGTTAGGTGATACTCCTTTTCATTGCTTTAATGATCAAGGAAGTCAAGTTGACATGTGCGGACACAAAAGATCAAAACACACACTATGCTGGTCTGGTTGCTCAAGACTGTAATCCCAGCAATCCCAGTGCTCTGGAGGCTGAGACAGGAGAATTACAAGTTCAAAGCCAGCTTCAGCAAAAGCGAGGCACTAAGCAACTCAGTAAGACCCTTTCTCTAAATAAAATATAAAATCAGGCCRGGGATATGGCTCAGTGGTTGAGTGCCCCTGAGTTCAATCCCCAGTATCCCCCGCAAACAACAACAAAAACCCACTGTAATTTAAGCAATGGCTGAGTTGGTTTACAGATTAATAAAAAAGTCAGGTATGCCAAGCTGAGTCTGATGACATTCTAATGGATAACAAGTGAGTGAAACTTTGTAACAAGATTTGCTTAAAGTTTTGTTACAACATCATAGTTGTGATGTATTTTTTTTTCATATTATGGGACATTTTAACATGAAATCCCATGATGTTTGTGCATGCATATAGCAAAAAAGTAGAACCATTCATACAAAATAGTAAAATTGTTTATTGTCAAATAATACTGTAAACTATTTAGCCATTATTTAGCCAACAGGCCTCAACTGAAGGTCTTCTTCAACTAGCTATGTACTTTGGTTACTCTCTTCCTGGAATTCGCACCTAGCTCAGAAACTTGGGAGCCCAGAGAGACCCCAGTACTTTCAAAAACTGCCCCGGAGATTCCCACATGCAGCCAAGGATGGGAACTACCTATTTAACAAAAATTTCCCTTTTAAATGTGAAACTTTTTACTTTTGATGCATTAAGTGTCCTGAAGTGTTATCATTGTTTTCATTTTGCAGATGCATGTGCATATGTATATAAAGTACATAAACAGTTTTACTATTTTGTATGAATGTTTCATACAAAATAGTAAAATTGTTTATTGTCAATGAAAAAGTAATGGCAACGAAAGTGCTTGCACTTATTTAGGTTGGAACCCCTCTTCAAAGCTCAGCCGCGGTGAAATAACCCGGTCTTCCCCAAACTTGACTTGATCCCTTGGTGGAGCGGCAGCGCGCGTGCGCAGTTTGATCCTCCGCGCGGGCAGAGTAGTGGCAGCTCCCAGCGCGTGCGCAGTCGCCTGGGGGCAGGCCTGCCCCGCCCCTCTGACCCCGCCCCCGGAAGGTCTACGGCGCCCTCCCAGCCCGAATCCCGGGTTGTGCAAGATGGTTGGTGCTCTCCCGGCACGGCTCGCCCTCCGACTGCTGCTCCTCCTGGCGTTGCCTGCCTTCGGGTGGCTGACGACGAATGCCCGGGAGCCTCCGCCGGAGCTGTCGGGAGCCCCACGGGTAGGACACGGCTGGTGCGGCTGAGTCAGACCTGCGGGGAGGCCAGGTCGTTCCAGCGACGACCCTCACCTCGCGCCGGGGAGCTGGTGGTTCGACCCAAAAGGAAGAGTGAGGAGAAGCACCGTGGGAAATGGGATGGTGGGGAGCCAGAGGCGAGAGAGAGAGAAGGAACCGATTGGGACACATTGATGTGTGGCCGAGTCTCAGGCCGCAAAGCTTCGAGATTCTTAGCAGTCCAAACAGTTGCTCCTCCTGCTGGAGCTTTTCTGTCTAAAGTGCGCGATCACCCTTGACCTCAGGCTTTTGTTGTGGCGCCTTCCTGGGCTAGAGCAGTCCTAACCCGGCAGTGTTTGTGTTCGGGAAAATTGAAAATTACCCGCTTAGTGTATTTCCAGGCTGCTCGGCTGGCGGTGGGGAAGGAGCTCCTTCCCAGGCTGAGGGGTTAGAGAAAAGGAGAGGCTGAAGACCTGACTCCCCGACTTCCTCGATTTGTCCGATGTGTTAATAGAGCTCCTTCAGGTGTGGCCGGGGGCGGGGCCCACTGTGTGTTAGGAGACCCTGAACCCGTGAGAACCTTTGCATCATTGTATTACAAAGCAGCCGTGATATTGGCCTTTTTTCAGTTGTATAGTCGGGAAAAGTTTGAAGATTTTAAAATACAATTTTTCCCAGAATGAAAAGAAACTAGGGAAGTACATCTTACTCAAGTCTGGACTTGAGTAAAATAAATACAGAGGTGACTAACAAAATGTCATTTAAAAACAACAACAACAGGGCTGGGGATGTGGCTCAAGCGGTAGCGCGCTCGCCTGGCATGCGTGCGCCCGGGTTCGATCCTCAGCACCACATACCAACAAAGATGTTGTGTCCGCCGAAAACTAAAAAATAAAATATTAAAAAAAAAACAACAACAACAACAAACTTTTATGTCCCTGGTACAAAAATGACGAGCATGTCTGTTTTAGTTCTGCTGGCACATTCCAGGGATCCACAACATTGAGAGCTCATAAGGACCACTTTTATGTGAAATTATTTGTGTGTTACAGTTGCATATAATTAAAAATAGAAATGCCATGGACAAGCACCAAGAAACCAAATAAAAATGAAATAATTTTAAAGTTAGGGAGATAATGACTTTCTTTCTCCCTTTTTCAACTATAAAGATGTATCGTCGTTATTTATCAACCCAAAACACATTTGGGTCTGTCTGAAAATCTGAGAAAAAAAGAGTTTAGCTGAAAGGTTAAGTACACTGCACTGTGGCTTGGGTGTTAGTGATTTCACCATTTCAGTTCTCCCTTCTTAGATTTTCATTCCACTTTTGGAAAGTTCAAATCTAAACTCGGAATTTCATAAACTGAATGCAGAATAGCTAGAAAGACAGTCTCATTAGTTGGGATAGAAACATGAGATGCCGAAATCGATTCATCCAAGGTCTTTTTCAAAGTTGAAAATTTTTGCTGGGTGTGGTGGCGCACACCTGTAATCCCAGGGGCTCTTTAGGCTGAGGCAGGAGGAACATCAGTTCAMAGCCAGCCTCAGCAAAAGCCAGGTGCTAAGCAACTCAGTGAGACCCTGTCTCTAAATAAAATACAAAAAAGGTCTGGAGATGTGGTTCAGTGATCAAATGCCCCTGAGTTCAGTCTCTGGTACCAAAATAAAAAAGAAAGAAAGAAAGAAAAAGAAAAAAATGTACAGAAAACTTGAAAGAATTTTATAGTGGTCCTCCATGTCAGATAAGTGCTCTTCAGTAGAACTTTGTGCAGTGATTGTTAATTTTTCTACCATTGTAGTAGCTATAGTTGTGGTCACTGAGCACTTGAAATGTGGCCAATGTAAATGAAGGACTGGGTTTTAAATTTTTTATTTAATTTTAAGTAATTTATGTAGCCATGCGCCATTAGAGGGTGCCAGATTTTACTTATAGACTACTRATATTAACATTTTTCTGAACTTACTTTGTTACATACTTGTTCATCTGTCCATCCTTATATCCATCCTGATATAAATTTAAGACAACTGGTTGAAGTCAAGAAAATTTTTCCTGTCTTCCTGCAAGGACTCACATTTACTGTATTCTAAGCATTTTCACTTTCATGTGTATGCATTTGTCAGACTGCAAAATATTTAAAGCTTTTGTAGTACATTCTTTGTTTTTTTCCTTTTTCTTTTTTGGTACTAAGAATTGAACCCAGGGGAGCTTACCCACTGAGTCACATTCTCAGCTCTTTTTTATTTTTAGAGACAGGATCTTGCCAAATTGCTTAAGGCCTTGCTAAATTGCTGAGGTTGTCTTTGAACCTGAGAGCCTCCTGCCTCAGCCTCCCAAATTGCTGGGATTACAGGCAAATCCACTGTGCCTGGCTATAGTACATTCTTCTAATGTTAACTTGGTTTCCAGAGATTTTTAGATAATAATATATTTTGAATGGGTACTTGTTTTATATATTTCTCCCAGACTTATTTTAAACCAACAGTTGATTCTCTTTTTCTTTAGGAAGCCAGTTGTGTCCCAGATGGGCAGACAGTGAGTAAAGATCTGAAAATGGGTGGGGAGAAACTTCAGTTTTGACATCTACTTTCTAGGCATATACAACCATGGCTTACAAGTCTGAACTTCCAGTTCAATCAGAGGTTTTTAGAACAAGAAATGTGAGTTTTTGAACTTAGTTTTAGGAGGCAGTAAAGAATGAAATTCCCTTCTGCACTGAAGTCATTGAGAAGGATCTAAAAGAATTTATTTTATTTTATTGGTGCTAGGGATTAAACCCAGGGCCTTGCACATGCTAAGTGTGCACTTTACTACTTAGCTACACTCCCAATACCCCAAAAGAATTAATTAAACTTGAGWCTCTGGAAAATACAGTGTGTTTGGTCTATTAATTATCTTCTATAAACCCTGTATTTTACTAAGCAAGCAGTAGGTTTATGTTCAGTAAATGACTAACAATGTTGTAGTATAGATTTGCTGCTGAAAGGCAGAAGCTGAAAAAGGTTTCTATTTTGTTCTGTTATTGGAGGTTCTCTCTAGGCAGTTAGAAACAGCTTTTGTAGTTTGGTAAGAGGAACTTTTAATTGGACTTTGGATTAAAAAAACAATGTAGAAGATGCTATCCTTTCTCCATTGCATGCTTTTAGCACCTTTGTCTAATATAAGGTAGTTGTAATTTTGTTGATTGGTCTCTGTGTCCTCTATTCTGTACTAYTGGTCTACCCGCCTGTTTTGGTACCGGTACCATGCTGTTTTTGTTACTATTGCTCAATAGTATAGTTTGAAATCTGGTATCGCTATACCACCTGATTCACTCTTCCTGCTTAGAATTGCTTTAGCTATTCTGGGTCTTTTATTTCTCCAGATGAATTTCATGATTGCTTTTTCTATTTCTTCGAGGAATGCCATTGGGATTTTGATTAGCATTGCATTAAACCTATAGAGTACTTTTGGTAGTATGGCCATTTTAATGATATTAATTTTGTCTAACCATGAGCAAAGTATATCTTTCCATCTTCTAAGGTCTTCTTCTATTTTCCTCTTTAGTGTTCTGTAGTTTTCGTTGAAAAGGTCTTTCACCTCTTTTGTTAGGTTGATTCCCAAATATTTTATTTATTTTTTTGAGGATATTGTGACACAATGGAATATTACTCAGCATTAAAAAATAACAAAATAATGACATTTGCAGGGAAATGGATGGCACTAGAGCAAATTATGCTAAGCGAAGTCACCCAATCCCTAAAAAACAAATGCCGAATGTCTTCTCTGATATAAGGGAGGTGACTCAAAACAGAGTAGGAAGGAAGAGCATGAGAAGAAGATTACCATGAAACAAGGAAAAGAGGAGGAAGGGAAAGGGAGGGAGAAGGGAGTTGCAGGGAAGATGGAAGGAGACCCTCATGGGTTCACAAAGTACATATATGACGATGTGGGGGGGAAGGGAAGAAAAAAAAAGAGAGATAAGTGTCACAGTAGAATGGGTAGAGAATAGTGATGGGAGGGGAGGGGGAGATAGGGAGGGCAGCAGAATACAATTGACAYTAGGATTGCTGTATGTATACACATGGATGTATAACCAGTGTGATCCTGCAATCTATATACGTGGAAAAATGAGAATTCATACCCTATTTGAATCAAATGTATGATATGACAAGATCATTGTATTATCTTGAGCAACTAAAAAAAACAAAACAAAAACAAAAAACAATGTGCCCACCAACTGGACGGCTTATTGAGTGAGATGTTTTAGAGTTTTCATTGATTCTAACTGAAGCTTACTCTATATCAAGGTGGACTRGGAAGAACCAAACTGGTTCTGAGGAATTACTGGTTGCAGAGCTTCCTTGGTTCCTAGAGTAGTTGGGAAGTGCACCAAAATGGGCTTAAACATATGGTTGGGCCTTATGTGGTATGAATCCTTCTCCACAAATTGTCCCTGGAGTCAGCCAACCTCATGAAATCATGTCAGTCTTATTCTCTCTTCTGTTGGAAATTGTAGCTATGTCATGTGGGGATATGTTTTGAGAAATAGAACCTTAGATGATTTTGATGTTGTATGAGTGGTATAGAACATACTTACACAAGGACAGCTATGCCATCAATAGATGATACATTTGTATGGGGCCACTGTCATATGTAGTCTCTTGTTTGCTGAAACATTATGTGGAGCATGACTGTGTATAAATATAAGGTATTAGGGATACTTGAAAACCAAGAAATACTTGTTTTTTTATGTTTATGAGTAAATTTTCTATTTTTAAATTAAGAATACAACCCAAGGATAACATATTTGAGAGGCAAGCGYGCTACCGCCTGAGCCACATCCCCGGCTCCCCAGCAATGGTTTTTTAAAATATTCTTTTCATGCTCTTATAAGGGAYGATACAATAAAAATAATTTGTGAAATGAATACCTGTCTATTTATATTTGTTTTGCAGGATGGCATAAAAATTAATGTAACTACCCTGAAAGATGATGGGGAGGTATCTAAAGAACAGGTTTGTTTCTTTTTCATTATGTTTTTAATATATAATTTAGCCAAATGAAATGCAGTGGATTTTACTTTTATTCTATTTGTTCATTTTCTGTTGCTATAACAAAATACCTGAGCTAGGCTACTTTATAAAGAAAGAGGTCTATTTAGCAGTTTAATTAATAATTAGGGAAATTCAAGGGCTTATTGCTGGATTCAGCTTGGAACACCTTGTGGCAGATGGTACCATAGTGGCAATAGCACATGTGGGAGTGAAAGATCACATTGCCAGATAGGAAGCCAAAGAGAGTCTGGAGTCTCACAGTTCCTTCTGAGGACATGCTTTCAGCAACTTATGGACTTCCAAGTTGACCCATATCTTAAAAGTCCTGCCACCTCAACACCACAACACTGACCAACCTCTAACACATGATTTCTTAGGACAAACAACCTGTAAACCATAGCACCTCTACATGTAATTTAGTTAGACAATGTATTTTTGACATGAAGAGTTTGTAATTTATAAACCACTGGAATTAATGTATATGCTGCTTTATTTTAAGGTTGTTCTTAATATAACCTATGAGAGTGGACAGATATATGTAAATGACGTACCTGTAAATAGTGGTGTAACCCGAATAAGCTGTCAGACTTTGATAGGTGAGTACTACTAAATCATTTCCAAAGTATTCTGTTTTTAATAATACTAAATAATAAGATTCTTGGATGTTATACATGTCCATTTTAAAGCAATAATACATATCATTTCTCTAATATACAATACCAATGTGCTTAAAACTGTATGCTTTATATTGGTTACTGATGGGATATCGACCATTTTCTTTCATGAGATTGGCATTGATGGGACTGCATTTCTGGGAGGGTCATCAGTATAAGCATGCATATACTGAGGTGGGATAGCAAAAGCTGAAATCTTAGAGAAGCACTTTCCACGATTGGAGAAAATGAACTGTTGGTATAATTGTAAGTTTCTTCTACCCTTATGTCAGTAGAACATTTTTCTTTTTAACCTTTTAAATTTTTTAATTGTTTAAATATAAGCAAATATATTACATTGGAATAGACCATATTATTCAAATGAAAAAAGGAATGTAAATTATTTCTTGTGCTGTGCTGTTTGTCAGAAACAAGTGACTAATCCTATCCCTTACCCAGAGAGAGGGAGTCATGCAAAGGCAAGCATCTTTGAGGGCCATTTTTGAAAGTTGGCTGCCACAGTGAGGAAGTCAGAATGTGAAGGGCTTCTGTTTTTAATTTAGTTTTAATTTATAGTAGGGGTATCAGATTTGGGGGCTGAAGAGTATCCATTGTGATGTTTTTGTATGACTGCATTTTCTCACTCCCTCTTGTGCCTTAGGCTTTGGGCATACAGAAATGCTAACAAGGCTGTAAGGGCAATCAGTGAGTTAACAGAAACACTGACATGGAAACAGGTGTGGTGATACACGCTGGTAGTCCCAGCATTTGAGAGGCTGAGGTGGGAGAATTACTTGAGCCTAGGAGTTCAAAGCCAGCTTAGGCAGCATAGTGATACCCTGTCTCAAAAGAAAAATGAAGGGCTGGGAATGTAGCTCAAGTGGTGGCGCACTCGCCTGGCATGCGTGTGGCCCGGGTTTGATCCTCAGCACCACATACAAACAAAGATGTTGTGTCCGCCGAAAACTAAAAAGAAAAATAAATATTAAAATTCTCAAAAAAAAAAAAAATGAAGCTGGGTGCTGTGGCACACGCCTGTAATCCCAGTGGCTTGGGAGGCTGAGTCAGCAGGAGGATCATGAGTTCAAATCCAGCCTCGGCAAAAGCAAGGTGCTAAGCAATCCAGTGAGACCCTATCTCTAAATTAAATTCAAAATAGGGCTGGGGATGTGGCTCAGTGGTTGAGGGCCCCTGAATTCAATCCCCAGTACCAAAAAAAAAAAAAAAAGGAAAGAAAAGAAATGTAAGGGAGTAGGCCTGTATAGTTCAGTGGTAGAACACAGGACTAGTATGTAAAAGGCCCTGGGTTTGACCTCAGAACCTCAAAACAAAGCAAAAAACAAAACAGAAACAAAAGTGCACTGAGATGAATCATGAAAAGGGGGCATTTTACAGTCACAAGTGTCCAAGGATATTGAGAGTGGGGATTAGGAAGGCTAGAGAGGGAGCCCAGCCCCAAATAGAAGCCTGAAGGAAGACCAGTCAGAGAAGTACCAGAAAATTCATGGGGATGCCATTGACAGTGTTTGAGCAAGGAATATAATTAAAACTGTTATAGTAAGGTAAATCAGGCAATGTTGCATGAATGGTTTAGAGGGGGAGAGACTATAGGGGAATAACTAGGTAGCCATTATGATTCTGGGTGGTTAGTGAATTAGATATAGGGATATTCTAGACAAAAGGAATACCTCTATAAAGGCAAGAAATCAGTTTAAACTGCTAGGTCTGCATTCAGATATACATTAGGTTCCTGTTTGACAAATCCTGAGATTATTTGAAAGACAACAACTAAATGCTCCTTTTGTGGTGGTATCATTGGGTGTGTTGCTTTATCTTTTTTTTATAGCACTTTCTAATTTAATAGAAGAGCCACTGGCTCCATAAATACCCGCAACTACTCTACCCCATTTCATTTGGGGTTGGGGTTGGGGGTAGGAGTTGGGGTAGGAGTATATTTCTACCTAAAGAGAAACATAGCTAGTATCTACCCTACCTGTCCATTACTAGGCTTGTCTCATTCTTTTCCCCCTTCCTTCCCTCTCCAACAAATCACTTATTGAGGAAAGGATTTTTTTTKGGGGGGGGGGGACTTATGTTGGGCCTCTTCTATCACTGAGTTTTGTGGATGAGTGTATGTGCTTATTTTGCTAAACCATGGGATTGACTGTGTCTTGTGGCCTGCTTTGTCCATAGTTACACTCTTTTGGCTCCTCACTACCAACCTGTATAAAAGGGATAGGAAAGATGTTGCTGGTGTAGCATTTCTTATAAAATTAAAAGATTGCCAAACATCTCCCCTTTTCAAACAAGCATAAGCCCTTGTCAGGGTTGTCAAGTTGTCTTTGTTTTTATAAATCTGAAATAGTCTTAAGGTCAGGGATGAAGAAGCCAATGAAAATGGTTTTCAATGGTATTGTTTCATGTAAATGTCATCAGAATAACAGATTCAATAACAAATTTGGTGGCAATCTTTGCTCAAAGTTGTCACTACTTTTTTTTATAGTGAAGAATGAAAATCTGGAAAATTTGGAGGAAAAGGAATATTTTGGAATTGTCAGTGTAAGGATTTTAGTTCATGAGTGGCCTATGACATCGGGTTCCAGTTTGCAACTAATTGTCATTCAAGAAGAGGTAGTAGAGATTGATGGAAAACAAGTAAGATAGTATGCTTGTTAACTGGGAATTGTTAAGATTTCAATTTGTGMTAGGTATGCATGTGTTCAATTATTTCTTTCTGACTTGATAAGAAAGAAGCTACCCTAACATTGCCTATATCCAATCAGTTAGCATTTTTATTATTTTAGCATTTTAAGTATATTAATTTTTTAAAATTTGCTTATTTGGGGCTGGGGTTGTGGCTCAGTGGTAGAGCACTTGCCTAGCATGTGTGAGGCACTGGGTTCAATTTTCAGCACCACATATAAATAAATTAATAAATAAAGGTCCATGAGCAGTTTTTTTTTAAAAAAATTTGCTTATTTGTATATGTCATATCACTTAATTGTTATAAATATCATTAAACAAAAAGTAAGTGAAGAGATTAAATTTGGTTCATAGTTCAGCTACCATTTCCTTTTACTAAGTCTATGTATAAATTGAATGGAACTGGGATTGTGTGAATGCTAAAGCAGACAGGAATATGATTCAAATTGCAAATTAAATGCTCCAAAGTGGGAGTGGGAGGGTATAAGAAATAATTGTCTGAATAAGTCAAGTTTTTTAATTATAGAAATCAGGGAGGAAAATTGACTTTTTAAGTTCTCATGGTTCTAGGCCAGTATTTAAAATACAGGTACTTATTTTTTTCTTTCATAGGCTCAACAGAAGGAAGTTACCGAAATTGATATTTTAGTTAAGAACCAGGGAGTACTCAGACATTCAAACTACACCCTTCCTTTGGAAGAAAGCATGTTATACTCTATTTCCCGAGACAGTGACAATTTATTTACCCTTCCCAACCTCTCCAAAAAAGGTATTTAAAGGCCATAATTTAACATATTAAGGAAATTATTTCTTTAGTTAGTAGCTATATTATATACTCTTGAACTTTGGACTCTTTATATTACTTGTAAAAGCTGCCATATATGTTTAATATGTTTGGAAATAAGCTTCTTTAAAAAAATCTTTAAGGGGCTGGGGTGTAGCCCAGTGGTAGAGCACTTGCCTTGCACGCATGAGGCCCTGGKTTTGATTCCCAGCACCACAGAAGTCTCATAACATGTATTAGTATGTATGTCCATTTAAGGACTTTAGGAATCTTATTTTGAGCCTTAGTAGAATGTGATCAGTGCTGCTGGTGTGGTGACAATTTTCAGTAATTGCCCATTCTTACTCTGGGTACTTATCAAAAATATAAGAATATTGTAAATGTTCATTTAAAGGAAGAAGTATTCATTTTCCACTGTAGGCTATAGAATTATTAAATTTATACTTTGTATGTGACTAAATTATAACTTCTTCTAAGTGCCTAAGTGTTGCCCTTCTGGTGCTTAAATCAGGGAATAAAATGTTTTTATTTTTTTCTCCCATTGTTAAAGGTATGTACTTACTATCCTGAATGTTATTGGCATAATACCTAAATGTTATTGGCATAATAATCTTATGACTTTTAGAAGAGACTCAAGTATGTTGCTAGCATTTTGGTAACTTTGTTCTTCCTCAGTGGAAAGTGTTAGTTCATTGCAGACCACCAGCCAGTATCTTCTCAGGAATGTGGAAACCACTATAGATGAAGATGCTTTACCTGGAAAATTACCTGAAACTCCTCTCAGAGCAGAGCCTCCATCCTCATATAAGGTAAATTGAGCCTTTGGTTTTACCAACCTTTATGGCTGTCGTGAAAAAAGTAGTAATATTTAAAATGAGGAAGAAACCATGAAGATCAGAACTATGGAACATTGTTAATAATGGACTTGGTGATATTTTTAGGTATTCCTATTTTATTCTTTAAGCTTCATTTAATAATAATGTAGTCATATCATGATTATTAAGGCACTGAATTTCATTTGGTTGAGAATTCCTAGTTCCAGAATTCTCATATTTCTATTTCTTTTTATTCTACAGCTATTACTTTATATACACAGATATATTTGTGCCCCCAGGATCTTGTATGATGATTAAGCACAGGTGGYTAAAAGTATACTTTCTGGATTCAGGTTGCCTAGTTTGAAACCTGGCCTGCCATTTACTAGTTGTGTAGCAAATTCTTAACCTCTGTAACCTGTTTCATTATCTGTGCTTTAATCTCTAAAGTGGTGTGAAATATTTCATTAASTTGTAAGGGTAAAATAAGATGGATATTATGTATGAATATTTATGTATTGGCACCTACTAAGTACTCATATTATCCTGACATGTATACTGCTGACTAGGATACAGTTCAGAAATATGCAGGTATCTCTTCCTATTAGTTAGCTCCCTTGCCCCAAATAATTTCCATCTAAATGAGAAGAGTCTGTGGATAGCCTACTTAGAAGAGAAGATCAGAATTGCTTATTTGGAGTTGATGGAGAAATCTAGGTCACTTTGGCAGTTTGGACTGTGATACCCTCACCCTATCTAACCCCAACCCCTGCAGCAGGTCAGCACCAGAACAGACTGTCTTCAAATCTCATGCCATTAGTGCCCACCTTAGGTTCTTTTCTTGCTTGTCAAGAAATATTTTGTGCATAATGAACCTCCCACCTGTTGTAAAAGCTATTAAATTTGTCTTTCTCTTTCTTCTCTTGTCTTCCAATTACTTGAAACAGTTCATTATATTAGGGTTTTGTGGGTTTTTTTTGCACTTGATGTGTACTTAAGACTACAGTATAAATAATCTTAAAGGATACTAACATTTCTGTCTCTATATTTCTGGAACATAATTTTTTAAGTTTGTAAATAACTTATTAAGGTACATTTTAGAATAAAATGCACCTGTTTAAAATATACCTTTTTTTTTTTTGTATGTTTGGGTTTTTTTTTTTTTTTTTTTTGTGGTGCTGGGGATTGAACACAGAGCCTCAAGTGTGTGAATAAATACTCTACCATTGAACTATACCCTCAGCCCTAAAAATACATTTCATTTTGACAGTCATGTAACCATTACCACATCATTTTAAGTTTGTGGAACTTTTATATCTAATTAAAACTCATTTTCCAGGTAATGTGTCAGTGGATGGAAAAGTTCAGAAAAGATCTGTGTAAGTTCTGGAGCAGTGTTTTCCCAGTGTTCTTTATGTTTTTGAACGTCATGGTTGTTGGAATTCTAGGAGCAGCTGGGGTCATAACCATCTTAAAGGTGCTTTTCCCAGTTTCTAAATACAAGTAAGTATTTGTTTTTGAAACAGTATTTTTAGTTATTAAAATATGGGTTATATTTAGAGAAGAAATATAAAAATAAGGAGGGAAAGAGAAGTGGGAGGGGGGAAGAATACTTTTTTCTAATTTCCAACTTTAGTAAAATTAAAATATCGTGATCAAAATACTTTGAGAGACTCAAATGTGAATAAGACAAGCTCTAAGAACTTGGTAGGGAGAGAAAGGAAACGTATGCTTATAATGGAGAAAGTGCAGTGTATAAGGTCAGAAATCAGCAAGAGGAATTCACTGTATATTTTCAATCCCAAAGTATCAGTTTAAAATGTAGTTAATTTCAGACTGGCAAGATACTAATTGCAGCATTCTTTCTATTAGAAAATAAAAGCAAAACTAGAAGCCTTTTAGTCATTTACCAATGAGGACTTGACTAAATGGCACATAGGCAATGAGATTTTCTGTGGCCCAATAAATCCAAAATCTGCTGGGGGGGCGGTGTTCACCCAAATTATTGCAATGAGAGAATAGTTTATTTCTAACGAATAGGCATGAGAGTAAAGGTTGAGAGCTTTCCTCCTTTGACATTCAGTTTTTCTCCCCACTGTACTGGGGAGTGAATCCAGGACCTTGTACATGCTAAGCAAGTACTCTTATCACAGATCCCCACCCATTTTTAAAATTTTATTTTGGCATAGGGTCTTGCTAAGTGGCCCAGGATAATCTAAAGCTTATGATCCCCTTGCTGTGCTTCCTGAGTTGCTGCCATGATAGCCTGTGTGATACCATGCCCAGTTTCTGTGATCTTTTAATAAGATCTTTGCTAGTTGCTTAGGGCAACTTTCTCTTCTTTCATTGTTCTTTTTATGGGGCAGATGCAGAGGCCCATGGGGCATTTTACCAATAAGCTACATCTGGCCATTTTCATTTTTTATTTTAAGACTCGTAGGGCCTCGGGGCTGGGGTTGTGGCTCAGAGGTAGAGTGCTTGCCTCGMACATGTGACAACCCTGGGTTTGATCCTCAACACCACGTATAAATAAACAAATAAATAAATAAATGTATTGTATCAACTAAAGAATATTTTTAAAAAATTAAAAAAAGACATGTAGGGCCTCTAAGTTGCTGAGGCTGGACTTGAACTTGTGATCCTCCTGTCTTAGCCTCTGGGATTGCTGAGATTAYAGGTGTGTACTGCCACACCCAATCCCTGTATTCCTTTCTATTACCTAAGTCAGTTTGGTAAAAATGAATTTTGGGTTTAAGAGTTTGTATAACAATTATAAAAATGTCAGAAGGAAAGCATTTAACCACAGGTAATTATAACCTTGAAGTAGCTAGCCTTATCTCACACAAACTATTGGTGGAGGAACTATTTTTATCTTTGATAATAATTAATCATCTTATATTTCAGAGYGATTCTTCAGATGGATAAAGTGAATGTTTTACCTGTGGCAACCATCAATTTATATCCAGATGGCTCTAAGAAAACAACAGAACACCTTGAAGATAAAACATGTATTTAAAATACCATCTCAAATCATGGACTCTGAATTAGTATATTGTTTCCAAATTTGCCACTTCAATATAATTGTTTTTAAAAATCGTTAAGAATCAGTTTATGCATAGCAAAATTGCCAAACTCCTAAGACTGCCTTAAAATTGACCTTTATAAAGTTCACCTTATTTATAAAAGGGCTTGCTGTTCAAATGAATTAAAAAAAATTTAAGCAAAGAGTATGAGAAGACATGTGAAGAGACTTTGAAATTACCAAAAAGGAAAAAAAAAAGGGGGGGAATCAATGCCATGTGCCAATTAAATTCAAGGTGCCTTTAATAAGGAAATTATATCCACTTAATTAATATATGACTTTATGAAAAGCACTTTATAAAATTCTAATTTAAAAGCTCAAGAACTTAACACTTATTTTTGTATTCAATACAATGTGTCTTTATATTGTTTGTGACTCAGTATAAAAATCACTGAAGTATATCATGATTTGATTATATCCTGTATCAAGACTACTTGCCTTGAATACACCAGGATTTAAAAGAGTAGTGACATGTTCTCACTCTAAAATAAACTGTTTTTGAAGAAAAAAAAAAAAGTGTAGCTCTTTTGGTTATAATTACATTAAAACTTTGCCCAGCTCAAAACTTTATGAAGGCATAGGTCTGATTTTTTTCCCCCACTTAAACTAATTAAAAACAAGGCTCAGATCAGTTAATGAATCTATTAATATCATGAAATTAAAGTGTGCCCTTGTCTTGTGGTTGTAAATATAGTGCTAATGTTATTTACCCTACAGATATTTTATCTTAATTTTTCTAACCCATCACTCATRTTGACTTTGTGTGTGAGAGAGAGATTGATTGATTGATTCTGGGTCTGTGCAACTCATATTGACATATTTTAGCAATGTGACCTGAGTAGGTATAACTTGTCTTTACTCTATGTAATACTTGCTATTTTGTATCATTAAAAACATTTTTACTTTTTAGCTAGGTGTGATGATACATGCCTAGCTACTGAGCTAATGCCCCTGCATGCCTAGTTATTTATTTTTTTTCTTTTTTTGGTACCAGGGATTGAACCCAAGGGTGCTTAAACACTGAGCCACATTCCCAGCCCCTTTTTATTTTTTATTTTGAGACAGGATCTCACCAAGTTGCTAAGTTACAAGTGTGTGATACTGTGTTGGGCCACTACTACATTTGTTTATGTCCTTCTTTATTCCCTAAGTTGTTCAAAAGCAAGTGATGACAAGGTTGTATTTTATCCATTAACTATAAGCTTATAGTTAGAACAACAAAGACCATATGGTCTACTGAAGAGGATAGTTGCTTTACTCAGCAGATTCCTATCCTGGCTTCTCTTCTTGGCAGGGAGACTTGAGACCACAGCAAGGTACTCGTTCTCCTTGAGACTCCATTTTCTCTTCTGTGGTTGGGTTGATACAGAACATTAATTTTTTTATATGCAATCAAATGGAAATCTCAACCTGAATTTTATACCACTAAATTTCTTCCATTTTATTCACTTTTATTTATACCGTTAACTGAATGGATGAGTTTGATTAGAGTACAATGAATATTTATCACAGGCTTAGAAATACCTAGCTGCCTGTAGTAGGCAGAATAAAGTTATTCAGACATTAATTATTTCTCCTCCTCTTAAAAATGCAAAGTAAAGAGTCTTACTCTCAGAAAGAAACAGTCTGTCTGGCTCATGCTTTACCTAGCTACTTGTTTATAACTGGTGAATAATTTTCAGTTATCCACTGGTGTCTAAGGAGGCTAGGGGCCAGTCTCACTCTCTTCATAGGAAGAATAACAGCAGCAAACAGTGGGAGAGAAGATGTTATACATAAAAAGACAGCTCCAAGTGAAAACATTTGTGTTACAACAGGCAATAGGCAATGTTAAAGTAAAACAAATTTGCAGCTTAAAAAAATTGCCTTTATTTCGAATTATAAGGATTTTTTAAATCTTACCATTTTAAAATTTTAAAAAAATATAGCACTCAGTGCAATGAAATACTAAATTTAATTATTTTTCAAAGACTTAAGGCAGATTTCTCACAGTTTACATGTGAGAATTTAGCATGATCCAAATTCAAATATCCATTTCTCATATCTTTCAATGTCTGCAGCAGATACTGATTTAGAAACCTTTTTTAAAGCCATTTCAAAATCTTCCATAGTTGTAGGCATATGCATTTCTTCTCTTGAAAGATTTCGAATTTCTTCTGGGGTCAAACCCTCAATACGCCTTCTCATTGCCATCAAAGATGCATCCCTAGGTGTTAAAAAGGCCACAAAGTGTTATTTTGACTAAATAAAAATTTTTCATTTTATGTAGTGTAGAATTCCCTAAGATCTTATTAAACATGTAGTATTGCATCAGATCTTACATTGGAATACAAGGTCCGTTCTGAAATATTTTTTTAGTAATTAAATCTTCCATGATGAAATTAAGGATGAATCAATTTAAATCACTAGGCATAAAGCACAAGAAAAAGKTTTTTAAAAAGCTAGCCATTACAAGTGTTCAATAAAATAAACATCATAGACACAGAAGAGAATGTTAGAAAATTAAATATTTATATCCATGTAGCATAAAAGATAAGTGATCAATTTAAGTGGTTTCCTCTTTTCCCCTCTATTATAGAAACTTCATTCAAGTACCTCTTTCCTTTCACCATGTTTTATCTTTACTTGTAGCCACAACTTATGCAAAGGCAGCAATATAGCTGCTTTATCTGTGCACATGTCAACTCTGACCCCCCTGAGTCTCACTCTAGAGATGAGAAGGCAAGTGTAGTCAAACCCCCTGTTAAAAAGCATCTGAGGGGCTGAGGTTGTGGCTCTGTGGTCGAGTGCTTGCCTAGCATGTGTGAGGCACTAGGTTTGATTTTCAGCACCACATATAAATAAATAAAGGTCCATCATTTGCTAATAAAAATATTTTTTAAAAAAGCATCTGAGTCTGGGCACAGTGACTCATACCTGTAATCCCAGCAGTTTGGGAGGCTGAGGCGCCTCAGTGAGACCCTATCTCTAAATAAAATACAAAATAGTGCTGGGGATGTGGCTCAGTAGTTGAGTGCCCCTGAGTTCAATTCTGGGTATGTGGCCCCCACAAAAGAAGCATCTGAGCTAAAATTCAGGATAAAACGTAGCCACATCACCTGGATTAGTCTTTTYTTTCTTTTTCTTACTACTGTTCCCACCATCACATTTAGGATATATTCACTGAAAATTAGACTATTAACTGCACTTCATGGATATGCCAACTTAATGTATTTCACATCATTTCTCCTATAACAATACAGTGAAGGAATACACCAATAAACTTAATATCCAAGACAATTACTCAGTTCCTATTTAACCCAAATTGTTCTAACACTAACTTCTTGAACTTGTTCAAAATAGTGGTGGACTCTTCACTGATATACAAGATACTCAAATATCTTAACACCTGCTAACATTAACTTAAAATTTATGACTCTGGGCTGTGGTTGTAGCTCAGTGTTAAGAGCACTTGCCTAGCACCCATGAGGCACAGGGTTTRGTCCTCCACACCACATAATAAATAAAATAAAGGTTTTTTATTTATTTATATGTCCATCTACAACTAAAAATATTTCTTAAAAAATTATGGGGGCTCCCCAGCTCAGATGGAAAAAAAAAAAACTTACAACCCTAATCTATGTAGACTACAATCTGGGTCTTTATTCCTCATCTATCTTAACACTATATAGTAACTTTTATAATCACAGAAATTTTTGCTTCCAAAATAATACATACCTGCACACGTTGGTAATGTCTGCACCTGAATAACCTTCCATGTTTTCTGCTATGCTTGCAAGGTTAACATCATCAGCCAATTCYAGCTCACGCAGACTTATTCGTAATAGTTCCTCCCTGCCTTTTGCTAATGGTAGAAAGAAGTTTTAAAATGTAAGCCTTCAACATAAACACAGTGTATTATTTTTTTCTCAAGACTACTTTGATTTGCTTTCTAATTCTTAGGGCTCTTTTGCTTGAAATTTCAAGAGCTGATCCTCACTGAATTTTTGCTTTCCTAAGTTATCAACACTTCTAGGTTCTAAAAGTAGCCAAACTGGTAATGTAAGGAAAGATAGTATACATTTATCTCTTTGTTAATACCATATTCTAAATTGGGAGGGGGGAACCCTAACAAACTACTGGAGTGTTAACAGGAGCTTTGAGACAAGATTTAAAGGATGATACCTGATGGTAAAGGAATATAGATTCGTTTTTCAAGACGTCGTCTTAAAGCCTCATCTATATCCCAGGGAAAATTAGTAGCTGCTAGAACCATAACCATTTTGGAAGGGTCATCATTTTCAGAAGCACCTCCAACACCTAATAGAAGGGTCAGGAGAGAATAAAAGGACACTAAGTTAGACTATATGAAATAAAGTTAAGCTATTTAAGGATTATTATATTTAGCATAATACAAGGTAGTATGGTTTCACAAAGCTGACTGGTAAGCAGGTGACTATATAATCTAAGGAAAATGAGTTTTTGTAAAAGTATGCAAAAATATAACTTGGAATAGATTATAATCAAAAGATTAGCTCAGTTCAATTACCTATCAATTAGAAACTTTCTCAAAATCATATATACCCTAAGGCCAATTTATCTGTTCTTATTTCTATTTCAATTTCATGGTCAAGAATAAGACATTAGCATATATTCTAAAAGGGTATCTTGTAGATGGCCATTATTTTTCCTTCCTTATTTTTTGGTAATTGGGATAAAACCAAGTGACACTGTATCAGTGAACCATGTTCCCAGCTCCACTCCCTTTTAAAGACAGGGTCTTATGAATTGCCCAGGCTAGGCCTCCTGCCTCAGCCTCTCCAGTCACTGGAGTGTGCCACCACTCCTGGCAGTGGCTGTTATTTCTGACAAGTCACCACTGCCACTGTATCAAATGTACTGCTATCAATCTCTAGGCAGTATTTACCAGCCCCCTAGGGTCCACCTGGCATTAGGAACACCAGTTAAAAAGAGATGCACCCTGGCTGGGTGCAGTGGCACATGCCTATAATCCCAGTGACTTGGAGGCTGAGGCAGGAAGATTGTGAGTTGTAGCCTTAGCAACTTAGCAAGACCCTAAGCAACTCATCAAGACCCTGTCTCTAATAAAATAAAAAAAGGGCTGGGTATGTGGCTCAGTGGTTAACTGCCCCTGGGTTCAATCCCTGGTATTGCCCCGCCCCCTACCAAAAATATTATGCACTGTGATTAAAAAGTTAGCGCTATGGGTAGAGCCAGATCCATTGGAGCTGGAGACAACTGGTATCCTCCCACCTTGAGTTAATTCATGCAGAGACATATATYTACCATCCATTTGAACCAGCAGCTCTGCTTTCACCCTTCTGCTTGCTTCATGCTCTTCAGAAGTCCCTCTTCGACTACAAATGGAATCTATCTCATCAATAAATATGGTGGCTGGAGAATAAAATCGAGCCTAAAGAAGAAACCATGTGACAAGTTTTTTATTTCACTTAAAAATAATCAACAGGTTAGCAATTAGAAAATGTCTGAAGAGGCTGCCATACTGTGTACTTTTTCCTCTTGCCCTAATATTGGGGGAAGAAGATAGAATCAAAACAACTAAAATAGACAAACATGTGCAGACTTACATATTTAAATATGACAATAATACAATTGGCTACATATGTTTGAGTGGCATATAGGATTATACCATACACTACAACAGTATGAGTAACTATCATGGGGAAACATGTTACAGACATTGGTGCTCTAAAGTTATTGAAAAATTTGGTTATGGAGAACTACTACTTTAAATAAAATCATTTATTAGAGKTTCTCTAAGAAATTCTAGTTAAACTGACCCTTTTTAAACTGACCCTTGTCTCAGTGGCCGAGTACCCCTGACTTGAATCCCTGGTACAAAAAAAAAAAATTATTTTGAGAAAGAGTCTTGCTAAATTGCCCAGGGTGTCCTTGAACTTCTGGTTCTTCTGCCTCAGCCTTCCAAATAGCTGGATTACAGAGGTGTACCACCATGCCTACCTTATCTTAATCTCTTCAGATGTTAAATAGAATAATAGTTAATTTTCATATTTCAGTATAAATGGAATGATATAATATATGGACTTTCATGTCTTTTTTCACTTAGCATCATGTTTTCAAGGTTCATGTATGTTGTAGGATGTACAGTACTATATTGCTTTTTATTGTTGATTAGTACACATTTCTTCCTCAAAATAACAGGGAAGATTAATCTTGATCCACTAAATAGGTCTTAGTCAAGTATTAAGCTATGACTCAATGGTATCTAAAACTTAGAGACTGAAGATGTAATTTATTACAATTTATTACAGTTTATGATTAATCATTATTCAAACCAAATGCTCAAATTAATATAATCATTGCACAAGAATATTTGAACCTAAAATGATGACCAAAGTTTCTAGAAAACAATTTGGATGAACAAAACAGCATTTTAAAGTTTTCTCTAGGTTGGGACTGTGGCTCAGTGGTAGAGCACTCGCCTCATATGTGCAAGGCCCTGGGTTCRATCCTCAGCACCACGTAAAAATAAGTAAATTTAAAAAAAAAAGGTATTGTGTCCAACTACAACTAAAAAATAAATATTAAAAAAAGTTTTCTCTAAAAATAGTACCCAGTGGACTGACCTGTGGACATTACAAACTTGAACATGCAATCATCCTGAGTCTATCAATTCTCTGAACTGTGAAGCTATGATTTAGTATTCTCTAAGAGGCAACTAATCATGTTGAAGATACTTGCTCCAAAGCATGGATTTTGTTTTAGTTTGTTCATCTGCAAAACCCAAATATTTAAATTCCACTGTATTTTCTAATTAGATATTTGAAATTCTAAGTCTTTAATTCCCTACAAAGGTTTAATTTCATTTTTAACAAAGTCATTATTTGAGCTTTCAGTACTATATATAGAATCTTTGTGTTTCTTTTCAAGAAGTRGAGAGAGAATGAACTTTTCCTCATTAAAGTACCCCCCAAAATTCACAAGATTATAGATAGGAACCATCTACCAACAAAACATATATTAACAAAAATTAAATTTCAACACATTTACTGACACACCAAGCAGAAGTTATAAGAAGAATCAGTTTACTGAATCTCAATTACTAAGGGTATGCAGAAGGGTCTGACTTCAAGCAGAGGCTATGTGCCCGGCACGTTGGTTTTGGTTGACCTGTGAAAGTGCTGTAGAAATATTTTCAAATATTCTGCCTGCACAGCACTAAGAGGAGTCTCCCTTCCATTTGGGGAACACTGCTGTTTCATATGCCACTACTTCTAAAGAGGCTTCTGAGGATGATTCAGGCGTAGCCAATCAGATCACTTTAATTCTCTGACCAAAGATAATAGTTTCAGGCCTGGACACATGACTCAAAACAGTCCAAAATTTATCATGGCACTTCTGCCTGAATAACTGGAAATAAGTTATTTCTCTGGGACTACCATAAGGACATTAAGAAGAAGGTGTAAGCTTCTGATGGCTATTTTAATTACATCATTGGGACTGACTAAAGTGAAAGCCAACCCAGAGGTCTCAAGATCTAAGAAAAAGATTCATAAGAATTATCAGATTTGGTGGCTCTTGTTAGTCTAATAATCTAAAAGTAATTTTTGAAAATTACCAGTTACATGATTCTATATATTATTATTCTTATTTAAATCATCTAATTGAGTTTCTGACAACTGAATATAAAAGTTCTTCACAACACTACAAAAATTATACAATTACTTTTATGTGTATTTGAAATCTGGCATTTTCACCAAATTTAAGCAGTCTTATTTAAAATACAAGCTTTGAGAGTTGCTTAACATTTTCTGGGGAGGACACATTAACAGAGGTGTCATCTGTAGCAAGTCAAAACCAAGATAGAGGAAGTTTAGTTTTATTTACTCCTTGAGAAAATGAGGCCATGATAACAGGGGAAAAAAAATCTGGTGTCAGCAAATGCCCCCTAACCAGGGCAGAAGCTCCAAACTGTAGGCACTGGTTTGTGACTGAGCCAGTGATCAAGTGGGCAACTCAACAACACATTCCATATTCGAGGAAACTTATTTAACAATGGTTAAGATTTTCCCAAGCAAGTCCAGGGAAGCCAGTAAAAAATCATGTTTTTTGATAACGCCTTCTAAATCTCACTATAAAAAATAATGTAGGGCCACCAGTGAAACTCTACATCCTGTACAAACACAATGGGATCCTAATTAGAATAAATTATACTCCATGTATTTATAATGTCAAAATACACTCTACTGTCTATCTAAAGAGAACAAATTTTAAAAGTAAATAAAATTTTTAAAAAGGAAATAAACTTTTTTTTATTAAAAAAATAAATAAAAAACATTGGGCTGGAAGTAGAGCCCATGCTTATTAGCATGCACAAGACCCTGAGTTCAAGAAAAAGCAAATTAACTCTTAGTAAGAGCATACTCCCACAGAAGAAAATAGCTTTATTTCATACCCAATCCTTTTCAAATTTTTTTATTTTGAGACAGGGTCTTGCTAARTTGCTGAGGCTGGCCTTGAACTTGCATTCCTCTTGCCTCAGCCTCCTATACACTGGGATTACAGGTATGTGTGCCAAACCTGGCAGAAAATAGTTTTCTTTAATATAAAATCTTATATTAGAAACTATACCAAATAATCTTAAACAGTAACAATGATTTATATTGAGCCCTTATGAATCAGGCTTTTAATTAAGTAATTTATATTCATTAACAGGTTTTACCCTAACATTACAGAGGTAGGTTTTATGTTAATATCGTCTTATAGATAAAACAACCAAGGATCAGAAAAGGGCAGGAATCTAAACCCAGGCCACCTGATTATGAAGACTCCACATTTCATTCTATTTAATTAACTTTTTTTTCCAAAAAGACCAAGTTATTCCAGAATATTAGCAATATACTTTTTTTCTTCAAGCAATGCACAAGCAATTTTTTCAAAATGACTGAAGAGATTTCAATTAGATACCTGTTGTGCTATGGACTATTAATAAGCCATTAATTTGCCTGCTGGCTTATGAATTGTCCAAGAGGAAGGAGAAAGCAAATGAAAGTTAAAAGAAAACTTTTCTAAAAGAAAACTTTTCAAAAAAAAAACTGGGGCTGGGATTGTGGCTCAGCGGTAGAGCACTCATCTAGCATGGRCAGGACCCGGGTTCGATCCTCAGCATCACATAAAAATAAAGGCATTGAAAAAAAAAATGGGTAAACTAAAATTGTGAACACTTTAGTTTGCTTGTTCACTTTGGAGCTTAGGAAGGAAGATTTGATATATTAGTAAGGCCACCTCATGTTTTGTCCACTATGATTAAGAATTCATGTCTTTGTCACTATCTATACAATAATATAACTCTGTCCTAATACATAATATATAAGTAAGACTGAAGTAATCAATGAAGCTTAGTCTGAAGTATAAAAAGCTGCTAAATTCATCTAAACACTAAAAGAACTTGTCAACTTATATTTCACTACTGGCACTCACATTTGTCAGGGTGGAATAAAGAAAAAGCAACTCAGAATAATAAGAAAAGTACTTTATCCAAAGACTGGGTCATTAAATTCAAGGTATTTGGTATAATTAATAGACTAGAGTGTGGGCAGCCATTCTGACACGTGATTGGGTGGCTCCCGTTAAGGGTCTGAGGCGCTCTGGCTGTGTCAGAGCTTTCCCGGCCCTTTCCTGATGAGAGAGCCCATCCGTGTGGGGGTGTGCCTGACCACTGACCCCAGGGGCCCAATCACTGACCCTGACCTTAGTGTGCAGTCCCCCCTCAACTTTCATTGGATAGAATTCTCCCCTGAATCTCTTGGTCCCCAATAAAAAGCTACTCCCAGGCGTGTTCAAACTCTCTCTCTCCTGCTAGCCCTGAGTAATCCTTGCTGCCCTGCTGGGCGGTTAGAGGAGGGAACCAGAGAGGGGAGCCGTCTCGGACCTGGCAATATAAATAAGGTAACTGAGTCTGTGTGTTTTATTTCGATCTCATCTAGATAACTTTATGCCTAGAACCTCATTAATGAAACCATTGCATAGGCCGCATGGTGGACTAGAGGTGATTTAAATTCTACAGCTTAAGATTTTCACCTTTTGTCATATCATATCATATGACATTTATCATATCATAACTAAGCCTACTGATTTAAAAAATTTCAGACTCCTATAGCAGATCAGTAATGTTGATTGCATAATGTGAGCAAGCCCATAAATTAACAGATGTGGTTCTAGTTCTGGAGAAAGCAGACAAAATAAAACTCAAGGTACTCATGTTCGTAAAGGATGATACCCACAGGATGATGACTGAACAGAATGTCATCCTGCCTACTTAATCTACACACTAGAGACAGTTACAACTCACTTCCTCTCCTTTTAGAGGTAAAGAGTGAATCATTATTGGAGCTGTCTCATTTACCATTTCAAACAGAAGACGAACAAGCTTCTCAGACTCTCCTCTGTATTTGGAAGTCAGAGTTGATGAAGAGACATTGAAGAATGTTGTCTTGCACTCTGTAGCTACTGCTTTAGCAAGAAGGGTCTTTCCTGTGCCAGGCGGGCCAACCATCAATACTCCCTGTTGGAAAGATTATAGCATAAGCGAAGGATTTATCTGGCTTTGTTCTTTTTCTTTTATTGCTTTGTTTTTGAGATGGGTTATCCCTCTGTTGCCAAGAGTTGGCCTCAAACTCCTGGGCTCAAGCAATCCTGGTTCAGTGCCCCTTGTAGCTGGGACTACAGGTGTGAATCAATTCACAATAATTCATTACTAAGTATCAAATTTCAACCAATTTAAATGTTAAAATAAAGAGACAAACACAAAAATAAATAGGATATTTTACCTTAGACTTACTTTATCCATTACCAAAAAAAAAAAAAAAAAAAAGTAACCACATTATTAAACACTTGGACTCAGAGATAAGGAAAAATAGTTTATAACAATATCTGGGCATATTTCCTAGTCTATTTACTCAGACACATTAGGTTATTCTTTTTGCACAGTTTACTTGAATAATTGTATATGTATAATTACAACATACATAACTAAAATATGTATAATATGAATTTTGCATCTTGTTTGTCACTTAACATTTAAAGGACTTTTAAAAATAATAGTGTTATTACCAACTAGCATATTTTCAAAATCTAAGACTTCTTTTTTTTTGGTTCCAGGGGTTGAACTCAGGGGCACTTGACCACTGAACCACACCCCCAGCCCTATTTTGTATTCTATTTAGAGACAGGGTCTCATTGAGTTGCTTAGCACCTCACTTTTGCTAAGGCTGGCTTTGAACTCRAGATCCTCCTGCCTCAGCCTTCTGAGCCACTGGGATTATAGGCATGTGCCATGGCGCCCAGCCATAAGAGTTTCTYGATAGTTTCTTTTTTATATCGGCCCATAACTTTGAAAGTGCTCAACAGATACAGATATTTCTCAATTTCTTAATACTGTTATGCAATATGACAAATGAAATGGGAGTATTTTGTATTAGCTGACTAGGCCATATTTGGAAATATAAGACCATCCTAAATTTGCCATGTATACAGTTTCTGAAATAATACCTGTTTCTTACTTTAGGAACCTTTTTTTTTTTTTTGGGGGGCTACTAGGAATTGAACCCAGGGGTACTTAAGTATGATAAGTCATATCCCCAGCCCCCTTTTTTTTTTTTTTTAATTTTGAGACAGGGTCAAGCTAAGTTGCTTAGGGCCTTGCTAAATTGGTAAGGCTGGTTTTGATTTGTGATGTTCCTGCCTTAGCTTCCCAAATGGCTGTGATTACAGACCATGTACCACCATGCCCAGCTTAYTCTAGAAATCTTGCAATAGGTTTTGGTTTAAACACAATTTTGAATAACAGAATACATACTTTTTAATCTAAAAATTTCTTTACTCCACTTTCTGTCTCCATTTTCCATAGAGTGCATAAATAGTGACTCTCTACARCAATGCACTGCCATTTACTTTGATATTGCCATACAAATAATAAACTTACTTTCCATGGTCTTCTAATGCCTTTAAAGAATTCTGGCATCCACATTGGTAACACTACAGCTTCTTTCAGCAACTTTTTAGCCTCTACTAAATCAGCAATATCATCCCTGAAAGATATTCATCAACAATTCCTTAGATTATATATTTAACTCTATGTATTAAATCTTGAGAACCACTGACAGCACACAACTTTATACTGCTGACACAATGTTAAGATTCTCTCTGGGCATTAGTGAAATAATACATTGTGATGAGGCCCACCATGCCAATCAGTGTACATAAAATTATCTTTGATTCTTGGCAGAAAAGGTTTCCAGCTGGCCTTTTTAGAATGCTGGCCTATAAGCCTCTTAAGTAAACATTTGAGTTGTGTCTCATCTGAAATTCTTGGGACCAGAAATGTTTCAGATTTTGGAATATTTCCATAGACTAACAGTTGAGCATCCTATCTGCAAACTCTTAAATGCTCCAAAATCTAATACCCTGGGGTTTTTTTGTTGTTTTTGTTTTGTACCAGGGATTGAACTCAGGGGTACTCAACCACCGAGTCACATCCATGCCCTGATTTTGTATTTTTTATTTAGAGAGAGGGTCTCACTGAGTTGCTTCGTGCCTCGCTTTTGCTGAGGCTGGCTTTAAACTATCTCTCAATCTTCCTCCCTCAGCCTCCTGAGCTGTGGGGATTACAGGCATGCACCAAGGAGCCAGGCCAAAATTCAAAACATTTTGAGGGTCATATCTATGCTCAAAAGGTTCTGGATTATTTCAGATTTTTTATTTTCAGATTAGGGATGTTCAACCTGTATTATCATGCTGTATCATTTTAAAATCCTGCTTTTATGATGCTCACTCCATAACCCTCCCACCCTGATTTAGAAACAATGAACTCATTAAACAACAATATAAAGAATAAAAGGGGCATAAAGCAGAGATAGGCTATAATACTGTTGCTTTACCTCCAACTCCATTAAAAGGTAGAATCCACAGTTAAAGAGTATCATAAAAATTACTATGAAGAACCCCTACCACTACTACTGATACACATATCAATTTTATTATGAAAATGAATTTTGACTGTATAAATATCAGATACCAAAAAATTTTAAGTAGTACACAAAACCATACCTAATAATCATTAAGGTTTTAAAGGGAAATATATAACAGAATATGCCTAGCTTTGTTGTTTTGAAAATGGGCTTTAAGTATGCATTGTGATAGAGTATAGATTTTTGATTAGAAATAATACTAATAAAGGTGATAACTACTGTTTGAGTAAAAGGACACAAAAGCAACATTTATCAAATGCTCTAGGTAAGCAAGATACATACATAAAAATCACTAGRGGATGTCCCCAAAGAAGATGAAATTTCTATGATCTTATTCTCATTTTATACATAATTATTAATTTTAAAACAAATTGGTACAACGTGGGTCCAAGTGAAGTGCTTTATTAAGTGTCCGACTTATACTGTATCTACTCTGGCTCTGTCCTACAGAACAAGAACAGGTCCTTAGTACATGATCACCTTTGCTCTATCAAAAAGCATCATTAGCACCTAATGGTCTTAATTTTTCTTTGTTCTTTTTTAATAGCACCTAATTATCTTATTGTGAGATGTGACTTACCATCGAACATTGGGGTTCTGAGAAATTATGTCTCTTTCCAAAGCTTCTACTAAGTCCTTATCATATCCAGTACTATCAAATTTATTTGTCTCTGGTTCTGTAACAGCAGCAGGTGACTTGTTCTACAACAAGAGAAAAAGGAAAAAGCTTTTTATTGAAAGATTTGTTTCTGTGAGTCAGAAACAAAGGTGGAATTTGAATTCAAATGATATTCTTTCTTGTTTCTTTTCTAGTACTGGGGATTGAACCAAGGGGCACTTTACCACTGAACTATATCCCCAGCCCTTTTTTGTTATTTTATTTTTATTTTTGTTATTTTATTATTTTGAGGAAGAGTCTAACTTAGTTGCTCAGGCCCTTGCTAAGTTGCTGAGGCTGGCTTTAAACTTGTGATCCTTCTGCCTCTGCTTCTTGAGCAGTTTGGATTATAGGTATGTGCTACTGTGCCCAGCTAGAAGGTACTTTCTGGTTCTCTTCCTTTTCTCCCATACTGTGCTGACAAAGCACAATAAATYTGAACTAAGCTACATCCCCAGACATTTGTATTTTTTTTTTACTTTGAGAAAGTGTCTTCAGGGGCTGGGATTGTGGCTCAGTGGTAGAGCTCTCGCTAAGCACGGGCGGGACCCGAGTTCGATTCTCAGCAGCACATAAAAATAAAGGCACTGTGCTGTGTCCATCTACAAAAAAGATTCTCTCTCTCTTTCTCTCTTTAAAAGAAAGAAAGTGTCTTCATCATAAATTGCTGTTGCTAGCCTCCATCTTGTGATCCTCCTGTCTCAGCCTCCGAAGGACCTGGGCTTACAAGCATGTGCCATCACATGCTTTCATGGTATTTTATTTCATTAGTTGAACTAGTGTGATCTCCTTTAAGTACACATTAGTTCAATAATTTGCTCTAAGTGAAAATCCTAATCAGTAGGAGATGAGAAAAAAAAAAAAAAAACAGTAGAAGGATTAAAAAGAACCTGGACTCTTTCTGTCTCAAATTAAAGCTGAAGATGAAAGCTAGGTACAGTAGTGTGTGTCTGTAGTCCCAGTTGAGATGGGAAGATTGATTACACCCAGGAGTTCCAGACCAGCCTCAGCAACACAGGGAGACCAGGTTAAAAAAAAAAAAAAAAAAAAGTAGCCAGGCATGTGGCCAATACCTGTAATCCCAGAAACTCCAGAGTCTGAGGCAGGAGGATTGAAAGTTCAAAGCCAGCCTTAGCAAAAGTAAGGCACTAAGCAACTCAGTGAGACCCCATCTCTAATTAAAATGTAGAATCAGGCTGGGGTTGTGGCTCAGTGGTTGAATCCCCCTGTGTTCAATCCCTGGTACACCCCTTCCCCTGAAATGACACAAATGACAGCTATTTGGGGGGGCCTCAGGATGTATCTCTGTGGTAGAG